GAAGCTCAAGGAGCACGTCCTGCGTGGAAAGGGGACTGGAATCTGATGCCGCGGGGGTGGCACGAGAACATGCTTCGACCGCGGCGGCGGTTGACTGCTCCGAAGAGCTTGATGGGGCTCTTGCCCCAGTGGGTGGCATGGTCGCCAATTGTAGACCTCCGGTCGGTGTTGACGACGAGCTGACCGCTTTGTCGGAGTGCACTGACGGTGCTCTGTGATTGCCGCGGCGTCTGGGAACACGCCGCGTGCTGGAGGTCTGGCTTGCGCTGTCTGCCATGTTGCCGTTTGGTGAACCGGTTTCACGGAGGTCGCAAATAATGTGAGACCCGAGGAGATGCTCGACTGCGAGGGTCACGTGAGAGGTTGGCTACGCTGGTAGTGAGCGGCAACAACTCGAGAGGGGTGCGGTGGCACGCAATACGCACTAGACTTGTCAGGCGATTGGCTGAGGAGCAGGGCTCTGTACCCAGGCAATCAGGCTATAACGAGTTAAGATAGTATTTGCGACGGTGTGACTAAAGGAACATCTCGTCGCCTTGATTGCGCGCTTTGCCTGCTTTGCGCGCGATCCGAGCGATCCAGGCGAGCACGCACGGAACGATCACGTGCTGGGCGGGGCGTGCGGGATCGCGCCACGTGTGGGCGCGGCGCGATCGTCGTGGGTCCTGACAACAGACCTTGTAGAGCGTCCTTTGGATGGCATAGTGCAGTGAGTTACGCTGTGTAGCGGAATCTCACCATCATCAGCGCTCTGCTGCGCTGGCTGACCATGAACAGCACTCAAAGGCACTCACCTGTTCTGAAGAGCTGTGTAATGCTGGTTGTGCGCTGAAAGACACCAGGGTGCGCTGTTGTCAAAGAAGATGGGGGATGGTGGTGGTAGGGAAGAAGGAGGGAAAGATGAACATGTTCAGTTTTTCATCCTTTTTCTAGCTACATGTCCCTCATGCAACCTGCTTGACTTCGCTTCTCAAGTGCGCTGAGAGGCGCTGAAACGTCTTGAATGCTCCACAGTACTTTGGCGCACTTCAGCGCCGCCCCAAAGGGCGCCAAAACACTGCTGGGGGCGCCCAACCCAGCCACCTCCACATCACTACAGCGCACCTCCCTGCCTGCGCGCACCAGCCACAGCTCAGCGCTCTTCTGGCGCCCTTGCATCTCCCCTCAGTCCTCCTTGGTGCACTGCATTCAGTGCCTCTCACCGCACTTGACACTTTGAAAGCCCATATCTCCATGAGTTTGCGATCCCACCCCAAACCCTTTACACATGCTAAATGACCCCTCTGACCCTCTCCAAAACTCTGCTAGGGTCACATAGATTCCCTAATTTCAGAGGCGCCACCAGCCAAAATCACCCCGCACTTGCGCTTTGCGCCTCCTCACCCAAAAACGGCTATCGCAAATCCAAAACTTTTCAGCCACAAGACACCTCTCAATGTGCTCTACAAACTGGCTATCAAACATCTCCGACCCTAAAATGGCCCACCCTTGTAACCCTAACCCACGGCGTAAAATCTTCAAAATCTGCTCCGCGGACCTCCGGCACGCATCTTTTTGGCGGAGTGCGGCCTAGTTTACGGCGTAAAATCCTCGACTTATACCAGTAGGCCGTATCTCCCCAGCCAAGTTAGGGTTTCACATGAGACTTGGTGCGTTGTGATCAGCTCATCAAGGACTACACACTCATAACTCAAACTCAAAACAGACTCGGTGGGAAACCCCTTGTAACCCTAAGCCTGACCCTAACCTAGGTGCGCTAACCCTAAGTCACGTGACCAAATGCACCCTCACACCCATCTCAACCAAAGCCTGGCCCCAAAACACCCCCAGCGCGCTCCCAAATAGTCACGTGACACACCCAAAGTCATACGCATCCCACTCACGCACGTGACCAAAAGGCGCATATGACACATCACGTGACCCGCTACAGTGACAACTTCAAATGGCCGCATCTCCCCAACCAAGTTAGGGTATTGCGAGCTCTGCGGTGGCCTCCACAGAGGCTTGCCCTTGCAATTGGGCTATTCGGCCTGACCGGCGGTGCTGCCTTGGTGTCTCCTCTGCCAGTGGCCAGAGACTGCTCGCCTGCCACTCCCTCAGCATGACGTTGGCTTCTTGCTCTGTCTGTGCATCTGCAATTTCAAATTCCGCAAGGATGTTGAAGGCCCCAGCCAGCCCTTCAAGAATGGGAGGCGATGTGCTGCGCAGAGTAGCAGGACGTGTGGAGGTCATGGGCCACCGGTGATGCGGAGCAGGGTCTGCCACCTCGTTGGGCAAGATAGCGATGGCAAATGGATTCTGTACAGCGTACAATTCTGGTGGTGGTAGCGATGACGAGGAGGCGCGGCTGGAGGAGCTCGAGGTGGAGCCATTGTTGTGCGCACTCAAGGCCTCTTCCGTGAGAGGCGTCACCGCACGAGCGCGTCTGCGCGTCTCCACCTCAGGTGTCGGTTCTCGGAAGAAGGACGCTGGCAGGTCATCCAGGTTGACATTGATGCGCTTCCCACGGCTAGGCGGCACGGCTGACGACCGCACAGCATTGTTTGCAGTTGGCCTTGCTGGTGCCGCGTCTGGCGCGGTTCCAGGTGCGTCCTCCTCCTCATCAGGATCAGGCTCAATGTGAGAGGCCCACGTGTCACCTTCCTCCTCCAGACCGCCGCAAGCTGCGTGTTGGCCATCGTGTTCGAGGTCATACGCTGCCCTGGCTGCTCGTGCGCGTTCTGTTGTTGAAGAGGTCCAACTACGTCGCAGCAGGAAGAGATGTACAGAGCTCAGCACATCCGTGTTAAGCGGCTGCTCATTGAGCTCGCGCCATACTCGCTGCCAGTCAAATGACGGCGGCAGGTCCGACCAGTTGGGCAAGATGGGTTGACCACGCGTAACCTCCTGCATAATGGCCGCACGTGAAGTCCTGACCGTGACAAACTTCCAGCGTCGGTTGCCAACAATGACATGCTTCCATGGCATGCGGAACTCGCTCGGCTCCCATTTGAATGGGCGGACATGCGGCAGGACGTGTCTGGATGTGGCCACGTCAGGTTCTGGTTTGTATGTACGGAGGTCTTTCAGAGAGAACAGCTTGTGGCGCACCGCGCCAGGCAGTCGCTTCCACCACGAAGCCCATCTCTTGCCTGCTGGAGTCGTGCCATCGTACACCCTCGCACGCTCGTATTCACTCGCACCTCAAAGTCCTTGTGGCATGATTCGGCCACGTCGACTAGGCCAGTGGTGGAGTATGGCTGACGCATTTGGAGGCGCCAAGGGCAGCGATGGCAGCGTGCTGTTATTGGCAAGGGCTGTCCCGCGGAAGTCTGAGTACCAAACAATGTCTGCAATGGTGAGGCTCGAGTCGCGGAACATGGCCCAGATGTGCTTCACAGAGTATCCAAAGAACTCAAGAACTTCATGGTGCCGCTTGTACACGTGGTTCCGAGGGATGGCGCGCTTGACAGTCTCTGGCTCTTTGGCAGATGAGTCACCATCAGAATGCGGCGTTTGTGGGCGCTGATTTGGCTGCACAGGAATGTCGGGCGAGTCCTCCTTTGCGTGTCGAGGTGGCCATGCTTGTGGCTTCTTGGTGGTGTCCAGGTTGAGTGCTGGCGTGAACCAAGGGAGTGCCAGGATATCTTCAACGCTCGTCTTGGTCCAGTCAATGTCAGGGTCTACCTGGACACCAATCAAGGCTAGGCCACGGAGGATTCTTCCAAACATTCCAGATCGTGCACGATCAGGCCAATTGATGCATCTCCACTAGCGCCCGCGTCTGCTCAGGAGCGCAGCTGGTGACGAGCCTACATAGTGTTGGTTGGTAAGGTACGCATGAAAGCCCTCTCGAAGAAACGTCCCAGTTGGGGTATCCTTGAGGACGTGCTTTGCAAAGATGGCAACGGAGAAGGCCAGAGCCATGTAGTACGGATCGATGAGTCCAAAGCCGCCCTGCGCGCGAGGTGTGATCATCACCTCCCACTTCACCCAGGCACGTTTGCCCTTCCACAGAAACGAGAGGATTGCCTCACGGACCGCTCTTGTGTAGCCCTTTGGTACGGCACACAGACTGAATGTGTGCCAGAGGCGGCCGAGCGCAAGCGTGTTGACGATGCGGACTCTGGTGTGCAGCGAAGTGTGAACCTGCCGGAGAGCCGCCAGGTGTTTCTGAATGCCAGCCACTCTTGTGTCCATCATGTCCCTGCAGTATGGCTCTGCTAGCGAGATCGGATGTCCAAGATGCAGGAGCTCGACTCCAAGGTTTTGGTAGCCCAAGTGCCGCAGAAAGTCCGGGATATGCGGTGGACCCTTGGACGAATTGTGCATGCAAAAGAAGCCGCATTTCTTCACGTTGAGTGCTGCGTTGGAGGCTGTGCAATAGATGCCGAGTGATCTCTGCAGCGTGTCCCATTGTCTGCGAGTCTCCACCTCAATGAGCACTCCCACATCGTCCGCAAATGCGACGCAGCACACCTTTCCAGCAACGTGCGGCAGGCGAACCCCTAGACCTTCCGCTTCCAGCAGGTGCAAGAGCGGTTGAAGTGATATCTCAAAGGTGATGCACGAATCGGCCGCTCCTTGCAGCACGCCTACATGGAGGCGAATGCTGGGCGTAAGGTAGCCCTCAACCATGTAGCGGACGGTGGCATTGAGCAGGAGCGACTTTGCAATGTTGATGTACTCGGGAGGAAAGTGGTGTTCTGCAAACACAGAGACCAGGTAGTCCCGCAGGACCCTGTCGTACGCCTTCATGAAATCAAGTTGGAGCAGCACATAATACGACGATGGTTTTTGCGTTGTCCTCTCGGGGTTCTGGGGGTATTTGCTGTCCCAGGCTCGATCGGGCATCTTTGGCCTGGCCCTTGGTTTCATCCTGAGGAAGTCAGCCAGACCTTGGAGTAAGATGCCAATGTCCTGCGTGCCTTGGTTGCGGATGAAGCCTGCCTGGTTCCAGGTGATGATTTTTGGCGTGACCCTCTGCAGCCTCTCGGCCAGGACCTTGCTTACTATACGAATGTCAAGGTTTGCAATGGACAAGGGTCGATAGTTGCTCATCATCGACAAGTCGCCCTTCTTTGGAAGAGCCACGCCTTTGAGCTTTGGCTCGCCGTCAGGCAGCTGTGCACCAGAGAGGAGCGCATTGATGAGCCTGCGCAGCCGTGGAACAGCAGCGGTGTCTGAGGCCAGATATGCCTGTAAGGTGAGACCATCCAGTCCGGGCGCAGACGACGTAGACATGCGTTGAATAGCGCGTCGAACCTCATAATTGTCAGCCAGCCGGCCCATCCAATCTCGCTCTGCTTCTGAGAGCCTGCAGCGTGGGGGGATAGCGCGAAATAAGAGCTCCTGAGCGGTGGCCTGGGCCGGCGTGCTGACGGCAAGCTGGTAGACATTGTCGTAATGCCGTTTAACGACTTGCACTTTCGCCTGCGGTGTGATGGCCACGCCCTTGCTGTCCTTGAGGTCTGGCATTGCAGTGAACGAGGCGGATGCATTAACAGCGGCAAGCCAGGAGGACGGTCGGATCGCCTCTGTGGCCAGTTGAGTCCGCGCTTGTATTGTGCTGGCAGCCGCTTCTGCTTTCTGTGCAGCCGTGAGCCACTTGAGAACAGAGGGGAGCCGGGCGCGATCGTTCCTTGAGTGTGCTAGGTCCAGCAAGTGCAAATTATGTGACAAGTCCGCCACCTGGTCCCGCAAGGCGCGTTGCCGCTTCCCAATGGGTGCTGCAATGCTTTCCAGCACCGTTCGCAGACGCTCCTTGAAGGCGAACCATTCTCTGACTGCACCTTGACCGCCTTGGATCTGCGGAGCGAGACCGGGGCCCACCTCTTCGGCCCAGTCTTCGAGCTGTCTTTGTGCTCGCGGGTCCTCCCAGATGCCGCGTTGAACGTGCCAGGTGCCTGGCCCTCTGCAATGTGAGGACGTTGGAGAAGACTTGAGCGTGACCGATGCAAGGTGGTGGTTGGACAGTGCAGCCACAAAGCCCGTGTCGGTGACGCTTCCATTTGTGATGAGTTTCCGCAGTATCCAGACGCTGTCAAGCCTCCTGGACGAGGTGACTACGTTGTTGACCCAATTGAAGTGAGTGTGAACTTGTCCAAAGGGGTGCTGGTGCCGATATGCGTCAACCATGTCCAAGGGATCAAACATGGCGCACAGCGATGGCCACGTTGTGCACACGGGCGCATTGAATTGGTCGCGCAGACTCCAGCTATTCCAATCACCTCCTGCAATCTGGGGAATGTCATCGTGCGAGTTGGATAGCATTGCGGGGCCTAGTTCTCTCTATCTTGAGGCAAAAAGGTCCTACCCGGATTCGAACCGGGGTCATTGGTATTTAATCCTCAAAAACCAAGGTGCTAACCGCTACACTATAGAACCTTGGCGACGGTACGTTTAATAGTCTGTTCTGATCGCACATTGCTTGATCCCGCGTTGATCCTTACATGTGATCGTCGCAGAAAAACTTGTCGCTCCATCGGCTCTGCTCTTGGCTGGCGCAGGGGTGTCTGGTCTGCCAATATCCTTTCGCGCATTCTTGATTGATGTGCTCAGCCTATTGATACGAGATACGGCACCCAGCTCGAGCTCGAGGCGTCGGTCCACGGGCGTCCAGACAGTGACGGTCGTGAGTCCACGACTCGATGAGAATCTCCCCGCTTCTTTCGCTCTGGCATTTCGTACGCCGCGGTACGGGGAGTGCGGTAATTATATGGCGCAGCGCGGTCACCCTGACACGTCGCGCCTTTTATAGTCAGATTCATCATCAGTCTCGACTCGTGACTCGTGACTCGTGACTCGTGACCCGCCGACTCCGGAATTTTAATGAAGGCTTTGACTGCTGCTGCTGCTGCTGCTGCTGCTGCTATTACCGATGCATTCAAAATCTCACATCGCGCGAGGGCCAATTTGAATTTGTATCTGGATGCATGCATACATGCATGACATGGGCGATGAATTTGTATATGCTCTCTGCTCGGGAGGCGCAGACGCGCGCACGCAACGAGGAAAAGGAGAGAGAGAAGAAAAAAAAAGTTTGGTGCGCGCGCATGGCCTCACGCTCACGGCGCGGTGTATACAGTAGCGCCCGCGCCCGCGCCCGCGCCCGCATGTGCGCGCGCTTGAGCTGCTATAGCTGCGATGGCTGCCATGCCACGCCATGCCACGCCATGCAAGCAAGTGGATCGCAGCTGGGCAGGCATCCTTCTCGACCTCCAACCCCGCCAAGCCCTTTCTCACTGAAAAACCCCATAAAAACGCCGACGTCAGACAGAGCAGAGTCGTGTGCGAGTGCCTGTGCCTGTGCCTGTGCTTCACATCAACACTCACACTCTTCGCTGCCGACGACGATCGACGAGATATAAGCCCAGTATAAGAAAAAGATTTCAGGTGAGCAGAAGCGCAGCGCAGCACAGCACAGCACAGCACAGCACAGCGCAGCATTTCCAGACGGCCTGCGTATGCTCCTTCGACTGATCCAACCATCTCGCTCACCTCATCCCTCCCCTTGCCTCCTCTTCGTCGCCCGCCACGTCTGCCGCAGAAAAAAATCCGAAAAAGCGCAGAAAACCACGTCCAAGGCGTTCGATCAGGCTCACCTTGCGCTGACTCGCACTAGAGATCAGCATACACGCGACGAATACACGCAGTGAGTGTGCAGGGTGGGAGAAGCGTACTGGACAGTAGTTGCGACAGCAGCTGTGAGGCACCTCACAAGGAGCCTCGCATGTCCATGCCTGCCAATCATGGCTTGCTGGGTGGTGTGCGCCCGATGACTGCGTCTGTGCGCGCCCTCTGTCTGACGCCTGCGCTGCTTGGCCCTCTGCCAGAACGACAACCGCCATCCCACTTTAATCAACCTTTCTCTTCTCCATCTCCAAAATGTCTGCTGTCGCTTCACCCGCAGCAGCTCCCACTGAGCTCCCCAAGCCCACCGAGCAGCCGGCTGCCGGTGAGGGCCAAGCAGCGGCTGCGACCGCTACCGAGAGCAACGGCGACAAGCCTACCGCTGATGGCGAGAGCGCAAAGGCTGCTGAAGCCGGTGGCGCCACAGACACCAACGCTCGCAACACGAACAGCAGCAACGACAACTCTCAACAGCCAAACACGAGCTTGTACGTAGGAGAGCTGGACCCTTCCGTCACCGAGGCTATGCTCTTCGAGATCTTCAACATGATCGGACCAGTCGCCTCCATTCGTGTGTGCCGCGACGCCGTCACTCGTCGCTCGCTCGGCTACGCTTACGTCAACTTCCTCAACGCTTCTGATGGTGAGTGCCAGATAGGGTGCACATGAGCTCAGAGTGTAGTCCACAGCGATCTGACTCGTCAACGCATCTCATCACAGGCGAGCGCGCCCTTGAGCAGCTCAACTACTCGCTCATCCGCAACCGCCCATGCCGCATCATGTGGTCGCAGCGTGACCCTTCGCAACGCCGCACCGGACAGGGCAACATCTTCATCAAGAACCTTGACGAGGCCATCGACAACAAGGCTTTGCACGACACCTTTGCCGCGTTCGGAAACATTCTCTCCTGCAAAGTTGCCATTGGCGAGGGCGGTTCTCTTGGCTATGGGTTCGTCCACTACGAGACTGCCGAGGCTGCTGACAATGCCATCAAGCATGTCAATGGCATGCTGCTGAACGACAAGAAGGTGTTCGTCGGTCACCACGTGCCAAAGAAGGAACGCCAGCAAAAGATCGAAGAAGCTCGCGCGCGCTTCACCAATGTGTTTGTCAAGAACCTCGACCTCGAGGTCACCCAAGAGCAGTTCGAGGAACTCTTCAACAAATATGGCCCAGTCACCTCTGCTGCTCTGTCGGTGGACGATGAAGGCAAGAGTCGCGGGTTCGGCTTTGTCAATTACCAGGATCACGAGCACGCTCAGAAGGCTGTAGACGAGCTGCACGATACCGAGCACAACGGACAAAAGCTGTTCGTCGCTCGCGCGCAAAAGAAGACCGAGCGTGAGGATGAGCTGCGCCGCTCGTACGAGGCTGCCAAGAACGAGAAGCTGTCGAAGTTCCAAGGCGTCAACTTGTACCTCAAGAACATCCCCGAAGACTTTGACGATGAGCGTCTGCGCGAAGAGTTTGCACCTTTCGGCACCATCACTAGCTGCAAGATCATGCGCGCGCCCTCTGGCGTGAGCCGCGGATTCGGTTTCGTCTGCTACTCGGCGCCGGATGAGGCCAACAAGGCGGTCACAGAGATGAACGGCAAGATGCTGGACAACAAGCCGCTCTACGTAGCTTTGGCCCAGCGCAAGGATGTGCGTCGTCAGCAGCTCGAGGCTCAGGTCATGCAGCGCAACCAGCTGCGTCTTCAACAATGGGCCGCGACTGTCGGTGCTGCGCCTGGCTATCCTGGAGGCGCTAATGGTGCTCCCATGTACTACCCGCCTGCTGGATTTGCTGGTCAACCCGGAGCTGGTATGCCAGGACGCCCTCGTTACGCGCCTGCCGGCATGATGCCTCAAGGTTTCCCTCAGGCTACTCCTTACGGCCAACCTCCGGGCCAATTCCCCGGCCAAATGATGGGAGGACCTCCCGGATACCGCGGACCTCGCCCTCCTCGCGGCGCCGTTCCAGGTGGCGTGCCTGGTGGTGTTCCTCTCCCAGCCGGTGCTCGTCCTCCTGGAGGACTTGCCAACGGTCAGCCTCCTCGTCCCAATGGCTTGCCAAACGGTGCTCCCATTCCAGGACGCGGCATTCCTGCTCCCGGCGCTCGCGGTCCAGGCGCTGGTCGCCCTCAGGCCTCTCCTAGTGCTCAGCCTGCTCTCACCGCCGCTGCTCTTGCCAACGCCGGCCCAGAGGAGCAGAAGCAGATCCTCGGAGAGGCTCTCTACCCTCGCATCAAGCAGAGCCACGATGCTCTTGCTGGCAAGCTCACTGGTATGCTTCTCGAGCTCACCACCAGCGAGCTGCTTCACCTTCTCGAGGATGAGGAGAGCCTCAACGCCAAGGTCGACGAGGCTCTCGAGGTGCTCCGCGAGTTTGAGGCTGCTGAGGCACAAGGCCAGCAGTAGATGTTTCTCTCCATGAACAAGCGACCGCGCAACGAAGCGAGACGCAATCTTTTCCATGCCCACCTTTCAAAGCCACCATGTCGTTGCGCATTCGTTCGCGACTGTTTGCACACAGCCACAACCAGCTTTTCGGCGTCGCGCGAGTCTCGTCTGCCGGTGTCCTTCCGCATCCACGTGAAGCAGCTGTACGCACATCAGCCGAGCTCTGAATCGAATTGTGCCTTGAGAAAACATGATTTGCGTGAGATTTTGCTACAAACTTCAGAATGCAGCAAGCTTTCCATTCGTGCGGTGAGATGGGACCTTAGCCCGCCTGATGGTGATTGGTAAGTGGATATCACGCAAGAAGAAAAAAAGAAAAAAGAGGCAAGTAATGTCATTCGCACGAAGCCTCGGACATGAGCAGCCACTCGAATTGGTCAGCGCCCTCAGTGAACTGTGATATTCTCGGCAAATCCTCAACAACCTGGGCACTGCAGCTCGCAGATCTTTGCCCTCTCCACCCGTCCATAAACATCGCATCGTCGTCGATCGGCAAGCAACCAAGCGTCGTCACCTTTCTACGCGCGACAAATATGTACATCGAATCTTCTTCGTCTTGAGCTTCTTGCGTGCTGCCGTCAGACTGGCTGATCGCAAAGGCTGGTGCTAATCCCTGTGTTGTGGTGATGTGCGTATCATGCAGATGACATGCTGCAGCTGAGATGCTCTCATCGAGTTCCAGGTGGGATCTCCTGCGACCAAAACGATCCCACTCGGTCCAAGGGTCTGGCGATGCTGATGAGCTTGGAGTGCCGTGTTCAGCTATCGCCTTCGTCGGCGAGGCGTCATTGTTGTGCAAGCCTGTATTGGAGCGCTTCCGAAAGCGAAAGCGAACTGGCTCAAAATCGAACCAAGTTCCGAACGCTGTCCAGAATGGCTGCTCTTTGATCAGAGACCGCACTTTGTACGAAATTAGCACCAGCGGACTTGTGGCCTGTCCGCCGCTGTCCAACTTTGCCGAGTCACCGAGGCCAGACGGCGGCGCCAAGTCAGTGAGCCAGACGAGCGTCCTGAGCAGGCTGGGAAGCAATTCGGGAAAGTAGACGAGGTCTGAGCAGACGATGTGGGTGAGCTTGGCCTCATCGTGCATATCGTTGATCTCGTCCTTGAGCGCCTGAACAGCAGGTGAGGAGCCCCATGGAAGCGGCCTGACACGCAGCTCGACCGACCGTCTGATCTTGCGGTCAAGATCGACAGCAGCAGCGGTTTCGTGCTCCTTGCGCTGCCAACTTGAACCGAAACCAGCCAGACCTGCATTTCGTCGCAAAAGCGGGCAGACATTGTCCAAGTCGGTGAGAAACAATTGCGCAGGTGAATGCGGCAGAGTTGAGGAGGAAGCGTGACCATCTGACGCGATGTGTCGCTGCCTCGAGGCAGCGTGATGGCCCTCGAGCTGGATGGCCAGGTGCAGTCCCACGTATCCTGCGCCACTGCCAAGCTCGACAATGTTGGAGCTGCGTGCAGTGTTTCGCAAAGCTTCACGAGGATCGTCATTGGCAAAGAGGTGGCATGGCGGATCGAACTCTATGCGATCGGGCTGTTGGGGCCGCAGATAGAGCTGCATGAGGTACGCTGCTTCCCTTGAGCAGCCGCGTGGACGCGACGAGGATGGGAGATTTGTCAGTTGGACGAGGGAGGTGCGATGTGATCGCTGCGACTGCGACTGCGACTGCGACTGCGACTGCGACTGCCACTGCCTCGCTCACCAGATTCGTCCAGCGATGCCAAACTCTCGAATGTCTGTCGCCGAGTCCATCTGCCAATCCTGCCCAGGCTTTTCCGAGTTGTGCACATCTTCTGCCTTTGCTGCGCTCTTGCTCTCAAGGTCACATCCCGCTCCCGCTGCCGCTGCGACCGCACGGAGAGGCTTCTGAGCACCAGCAGACGCCCTGCCCCACCTCCGTCCCGGAGCGGAGGGATGTATGCGTAGACCTGTAAGCGGGAAATTTGGATCCGACATGATGCAAAGGCGGCGTGCCTCGCTGTACAGTGCTTGCACCCAGCAGCAATCCGACACAAAGTGTCCCTGCAGTGGTCAGTGCATCCATCCACAGCCGACGCCTTGAAAGTGGACGCTGTGAGTGTTGAGTGTGGAAGTGCAAAGCAAAGCAAAGCAAAGCTTATTAATTGTGGCGCGCCGCGCCGCGCCGCGCCGCACTCGATCGCGTGAGTGAGTTTGCGAGTGCGAGTGAATGTGGGCGGGCGCAGCAGGCAGCGTGCACGCCGCCGTCGGTCATGTCCGCGGACTTTCGCCGTGGCACGCGCGGGCGCGGGCGCGGGCGCGGGCGCTCTACCGCGGCCGCGCGGGCGGAAGACACCTCGCACGGGCGGGCGGGCATGCACACACAATGCATTGACACATTGCATGGCCATCACTCTGACTGTCACTTTGACTCCACCAACTCACGCCCACGACTCAGACTCAGACTCGCACTGTGAGCCGCCGTCGCACTGCATCATGACATCCCTCGCTCCCACGCTCTCCACCATTCCGGGCACACCTCCAGCATCCGCTACTCCATCGGCCATCAACTCGCCGCGCGGGCGCTCAGACAGTCTGGAAGATGTCAGGCCTGGTGCGAGTCCCCTCACAAATCGCACTGCAAGGCCCTTCTACCCTTCCAGCGGCACCTTCAGCTCCAACTCCAGCTCCAGCTCCAGCTCAAACTCGCACTCGCACCCGCTCTCCAGAAGAGTCAAGCAGATCCTCTTGGCACCCACGCCAACCGAGCAAGAAATGCTGGAAACGCGTCAAGCGCTGGACCACATCGGCCAGGCTTACTCCACCTCGACCTCGACCTCGACCGCGCACGCGAACGCGAACGCGCACGCGAACGCGAACGGCGAGAGGAGCCATCCTGGCGTAGCGCCCAAGGCTGCGACCACCGTGGACCTGGAACGAGCGAGGAGACGCTTGGATCGCGATTTGAGGCGAGATGCGGATCACGCTGCCAAAGATTTCCAAAAGGTGTTGGGCGGCGTGAATCGGGTGAGTGGTGGGGCTGATGGTTGATGGCTGATTTGCGCGGCTGTGGTGCATGCGGCCAAGGGACGTCGGTGTGGCCTGCGCTGCGCTGCGCTGCTCTGCTGAGCACGTCGGTTGCGAGACAAGGCCAAGGGCAAAGCGGCAGAATGGTAGACTGCCGCATACAACCCACCGATGATCGCCTTGCGATGGCCACGCAAACGTTGCTGATGATTCAATCCTGTGCCGCGCTTCTCTCTTCTGCACCGCACCGCACCGCACCGCACCGCACCGCGCACCTCTTAGGCCCTGGCTGCTTTGGTAGCTAACAACGAAGCAATGCACGCGGCAGTCAACGACGTCGATGCTCGCCTGCACGCCGCTTCCATCGCCAGCGCTCATTTGAGGGAACATGCCACCGGTCTGAACAGGCAGAGGTGAGTGTATGCGCATCGAAAGGGCGCGGATTATTCCCCCCCCTTTCAGCATCGCTAAGAAGTCTTGAGCGCACCGATGACCTTTCGCAGAAGCACGGCAGAGAATCAAAGGCAAATTTTGCAGCTCTTCCTTCAGCGCTTCACCCTCTCGGCAGACGAGACGAACAGCATCTACTCGCGCGATATGCCTGTGGGCGTCGAGCTGTTTCGTACGATGGACAGGATTGAAAAGATACGCAGCGACTGTCAGGTCCTGCTCGTGGGACGCGAGGTGGGAGAGAAGGGCGGCATGCGTGCAGGGTGAGCGTCGTCGTGCTGCTGCTGGTTGTGTGAGAGAGACGAGACGCCTTTCATCTGACTTGACTCTACGCTCGTCCCCCACCCCCACGCATCAGCATGGATCTGATGGATACGACGGCGAGCCAACTTGATGCTGCGCAGAACAAGATTGCTCGTTGGCTTTCGTTCGAGTTCCGACAGCCGCCCCAAGACGGTATGGAGGTGGGGCCTGCCATGAGGGAATCGGTCAAGCGGCTCGAGACGCGCCCTGATCTGCTCAGGTGAGGTGCTCGCATAGCTTGACTCGTACCACTCATCACTCACGCTTTCGCGCCTGCTGCGGTAGATCTGCGTTGCAAGTCCTTGCTGGAACGAGGGCAACGTTTCTCTCCCAAGCATTCCACGCAGCACTCACACAAGGCGGACCAGCACCTTCCTACCTGCCTCGGCCTATCGAGGTGCACGCGCACGACCCCCAAAGATATGTGGGAGATATGCTGGCATGGGTGCATCAATCCGTAGCATCCGAAAGGGAATTTCTGATCGGTCTCTTTGGAAGAGAAGAGGAAGAGGTCAAGATCGGCAGGAGAGTGGGCGAGAGGAGAAAAGGCATAGAGAGCGTTGACTGGTCCAGCGCGACACTGAGCAGCGGAGAGAGAGAGACAGAGAGAAGGGTGCGGGAAGTGCTCGATCGAGTGATGGAAGGGTGCGCCCGGCCGCTCAAGGTACGTTGCTTGGGCATTTGCATGCATGGCATGGCGAAACATTTGCTGACGATACCTTCTTGCGCACATTGTACGTTTAACAGCTACGAATTGAACAGACCGTCTCCTCTCAAGAGGGTTGCATCACCTCGTTCCGACTCGCAAGTCTCGTGCACTTTTACCACATCACGATGGAGCGGACAATTGGGACCAAGGCTGCTCTCAGTAGGATCCTCAGAGAGTGAGTTCACCGCAAGCGTCCGCTGCGAACAGCGTCGTCGGCGGCGGCTGATCGGGCGCCTCCATGCTCCACGCGCAGAATCAGCGCCACGTCGTACGAGTCCTTCCTCTCTACCCTGGATCGGCAGGCTCAAGGATTGGAACGCTTTGCTTCGGGCCCTCAACCTGACTTGAGAGCGCCGCCTTCTTTGCTGGGCGCTTCCAGCACGCTCAAGGAGCTCTTAGCTGTCCATCACTCCTCCATCTCCGAACAGGACCAATTCGGTAATGCGCTGCCCTTGATGGGCGAATCCCGCGGACTAGAAAGATCGAGTCAGCCTGATGAAGCGCGCGAGGCGGATCCTATGGAAAGGGTGCTCAGCAAGCTTGTGGATCCCATGCTTGAGATGTGTGCCCGCATGGCAGAAGTGCACATCAAGAAGGTATCGAGGAAATCGGAAAGCTTGGCGAATTGGGAGGCTGCCATCTTCTTGTGCAATTGTTTCGCGCACGTCAAGGTCAGCAGTCTCATCTTTGGCTTTCTTTCTGCCTGCCTGATGTATAGCTGATGCGCCTCGCTTTCTCTTGCCTCAAGACAATCCTTGAGCCCTACGCTTTTGCAGCCATGGCCACCGACAAGATTCAGAGTTGCATTCGCGACCAGATCAAAGACCTGACCAGCGCTCATGTGAGTCAATGCCAATCACGCTCCGGATGCTTTTCTCAGAAGTCACCATCCTGATCATCGTCCATTTGCTTCTATTTGCTACCACTAGCATGGGCAACTGAAGAAGGAAAGCGGCCTTGAATCTCTATTGACTGCCATCGAGGCAAGACCCACCGGAGTAAGTTCGCCCTGCAATTCCTTCTGTTGAATGCACTGCCCAATTTTAAAAAATGCACCTCATTCACACCGCCTTGGCCAAATCCAGGCTACTCTCGCATCCCAGACTGCTTCCTCGCCTGCTGCTGTTCGATCTTGCTTGTCGACCTTCGACGTCTTCCTCAATTCGAGCTCGTTGGTGGACCCCGCACCTTTGAAGCCAATCTCAGATCCAAGTATCAGGAGTCAGGTACAGAGTGGCGCCCTCCACCTGTTGGCCGAAGATTACGAAATCATCGTCGCAGAATTGCGGAAAGAGGATGGTGCTGCCGGGTCGGATGCGAACTCAACCCTGCTTCAGAGGAGTCCGATGGATGTTAGATTGTTGCTCGGGCTCGACATTTGAGCGTCTCGCTAGCCTCGACCGGTTCTTGGTGTGATACAGATGCAAATGCATAAATAGACATGGCGCTGTGCTTTGACACGCAATGACAGGGCTACGTTGAGTTGCGGGCTTCATTGTGCTGCGAACCCTTGCTGTCCGCGTCTCCAATTGGAGGAGGCCACCTGACATCCACACGACCCAGATCCTTCTTCCTCGAGGTGCTCGTTGACCACGAACCTCATCGCAAATACTATCTATTACCCTGATTCTATAGATGCTCTGCCAGCTATGGTGTAGAGATCTAGACAGAGGGTATATGTAAGTATGCGCACCTTGACCCAGGGGGTCAATGGGGTCACACAAGGTTCAGCCAACCCCTCACCGTGCCTATTGTTCACCAATAGCCTTGGTGAACCCGCTACTCCCCGCAGTACCGGTTCAACACGCAGCCCTTTCACAGATGGACACCGTGGGAGGAAGAAGCTGATGTAGCCGGTGCAACACGGGAGCAAGAATGTGTTTTCTCAACAGGTATAACAGCTGAAACCTCTTTCTGATCTTGCTGATTTCCTGCATGTCCAGTAGACCCTTGATGTGTGGTGTTTGACCCAATAGAAAATCTGATGGCAAGCCTGCCCTACAACCTTTGTACAACAGAGTGCTCATGGGCACAACAGACGCACCCAGAACTGCCAAAATGGCCCACATGCCAGTGTTTGGGAGTGTAATGATGCGGCTCAGCGGTGATAACCGGAGTTGGCACCGGCGCGGGTAAGGTTCTGTGCTTGTCAAACTAAGAGCAGGGAACAAGCAGTGAGTGGACGGAACGTTACGACGGGCAAGGACTCAGCTGATGCTAGAGCTGAGGAGGAGAGAGACGGCTGGGTGATCAGGCCAGTTGTCGAGCAAGCGCCGTTCAGACGAGGTAGTCGTAGGAGAAGGTGGTGGTAAGAAGCATGCATTTCTGAGAAGAGGAGGCCGGATGAAGGCCTCTTTATATACCTTTTGTTGATGCTCATCTGTGTGTGGCAGAGAAGCGTCGACGGCTATAGAGAACACCATGTGTGATGGTGCATGTAACGGCGTGTGTAATGGCAGTGGTGTGCGCAACGGTGTGTAATGGAGTTTGCGTTTGTGATGGTCTGTGTAACGGTGTGTGTGATGGTGTTTGGGAGCACGACTATTGCACGAGAGATCGCAGCCGGGTTCGTGGCTGCGCGTCCCACTCGTAGGTAGCGTCGGCACGTGACGCGCGATCTTCATCGATCAGAAGATCGCGATCGCCAAGCTGCGGATATGCAGCCACCCACGGCCACAGCGTCAGTGGCTACAAAGCCACGCATGCATCGCATCGATCGAAGTGTTCACCACTTCAAACGTATATCCCTAAGACGAACACCCCGTACCATATACTATGCCATACACATGTAGAGCATCACCGCTCGTCTATAAAAACCCCATGCTTGAGAGTCAATCTCCCATGAATACGACATCTAGAACCTCATCTCTAGTCTGATCTGACCTTTGTCTGGCAAAACCAGCAGATGATCCCTTCCTCATAGCTCACTTGTGATCACGTGTAGAGAGCGACCAAACAATGGCGCGTGTAATGTAACGGTGCGTGTAACGGTGTGTGTAATGTACGCAGCTGATGTAGCGGGCCATCCGTTACAGGGAGCACAACTATCGCACAAGAGATTGCAGCAGGGTTTGTAGCTGCGAGTCTCACTTGTAGGTAGCGTCGGCACATGACGCCCAATGTCCATCAATCAGAAGATTGTGATGGCCAAGCGGTGGGAGACGCAGGCACCTGCGCCGCCCTTGTCAGTGGCCACAAAGCCACCCATGCATTGCATCAATCAAAGTGCACACCACTTTGATTGTACATCCCTAAGTCAAACACCCCATACCATACCTTATGCCATACACATGCAGAGCATTGCTGCTCAGCTATAAAAACCCATGCTTAAGAGTCAATCTCCCACAAGTACAATATCTAGAACCTCATTTCTAGTCTGATCTGATCTTTGTCTGGCAAAACCAGCAGACAAACCTTCCCTGTAGCTCACTTGTGATCACGTGTTGAGAGCGACCAAGCACCAGCGCTTGCTACAGACTGTGCCAGGGATTTGCCCTCTGTCCTTGACTCTGGGAGGATACTGGTCATGGCGCTCAGCAAATAAGTGACCGCCCAGTCAAACCAAGAGTGCTTTGATATGGGCAGCCCCTCCGGCCTGATCTACCCTGACCAGACCAAATGAGTCTACCAGCTGTCTCTTGACGGTCTCTGCAGGGATCAGCACGCCAGCCTTGGCAGGAACCATGGCAGTCTGTTCTACCAGACCTGCCCAGGCCCCAACAATGGTCTGCACAGCCCCATCCACTGATAGCTTGGGGTGGCCCTTCTTGTCCTCCCAAGCATGTCTGGCAATACTAACCAAGATCTGTATCCAGGAGCGGACAAAGGTGTCTGCATGCAGATGATCCCTGCAATACTCCACTACCTCTGTCTCAAACGCAACCGCCCAAATAGACAGATTGAGGGTCACACTGACAAGATCCTCCACTGGTCTGGCCAAAAGGGCCTGCTCTAGTCTTCTTTTCTTGTGGTGCCTCTTTGCCTCGACAGTGTTCCTCTCCATGATTTTGAGCTGTGTCAGAGTGGGAATGGGCAGCCTCTCAAAACCCCATCTTCTACCATGTGCCTTCAGACTGGCCTTTGCGGTTGGACTTGTCACTCCCGTCTGCTTGACTCCTTTCTTTGTTTTCCTTTTGCCCTCCGTGCTCCCCCTCTTACATAAACCAATGCTACCCGTCGGCGTTGCCGCATCTGTCAGATCCTGCCCCTGCCTCTTGGCCTCCCCTTTGGTTGCCGCACTTCTGCGAGGCTTTCCCTGCGCAAGCGAGATCTCTCCACCCAGCATCGAAGCCTGCGCGGTCTTGTCTGCGGCTGCTCCTGGCCCAGCTGATGACCCAACATCCGTCGCGCCAGTCTGCAGACGACTGGGACTTCCCAGCTGCGTTTTGCCAGAAGCAGCTGCTGAAGAGAGCGAATCCTCCGTCTCTCAAGCCAGTGTTGCTGGGCTGGAGACGATCTCATCTTCTGCAGGGCTGTCCGCTGACGGGAAGGTCTCGCAGAAAGTGATGTGCTGTAACAATGCAACTCAGCGGTGATGACCAGAGATGTTGCTGGCGCAGATAAGGTTCTGTGCCCAACAAACAAAAGAGCAGGGAGCATGCAGTTGGTGAGCAGAACAGTACAGCTCAGGCGTACTCAGCTAGGGTACAAGGAGGACAGATGGTAACAATGGTGACGGCTGGGTGATTAAGTCCAGTTGTCATGCAGAGGCAGTCAGACAAGGTTGCGGTTGGAGAAGATGGTGGTAAGAGTGATGATTTTGAGAGAGGAGGAGGCTGGATGAAGGGCTCCTTATATGCCTTTTGTGAATGCTTGTCTGTGTATAGCAGACAAGTGTCAATCATTACAGAGAGTGCAGGGAGCGTAACAAATACATGACAGAGACATGGGGCCCTGTGTGTGATGATACGCATCATGGGAGTGTGTCTGACCTTGTCATAGAAGGCTTGGCGCTGTTGCAGGTGCAACACATGGCTGGTTGGACCACGCACTCCGCGCGACCTATGACACGAAGGCCTGCGTCTTTTACTTATAAGTAACGAAGCCCATGCCCAATTTCTGTACAGCCCAGAAGAGCTCTGGGTAGAATCAGACAACTCTGCAAACCCTGACAACTCCACAGGCTCCGACTAAGTGCCCAAGTCTCGAGAGTAAGTGCACAGAAACATGATGTTGGGACAAGGCACATTGCTTATTCTCCTTGACACCCTTTTCACGTCAGGATGGAACACAGAAGCTTGATGCTTGCGAGAATGGTGCAACAAGCAGACAACACCAAAAAAAATGAGGCTCAGCTGGTTGTTAGACGCGTCAGCCGTCACCACCGCCTGTACCCACGTGACCGGTGCGCGCGCCACGCTCCCCGGACCGCCCGAGCCCATCTTTGCCCGCGGCGCTCACCCTTGTTTCCTTGCCCGCGGCGCTCCCCCTTGCTTCCCTACTTCCTGGTCGCAATTATTGTCTTTACTCAGCTATCCTAGGATTCGCCCCGCTTCTGTGTCATAGTCACCGAAGCATCCAAACCTTCTAGCAATAGTATAGCATACTTGCCTGATCACCCGAAGTACCCGAGCCTCCCGAACCCCGTTCCCAGGCTTCCCAAGGCCTCACCCAAAGTTCCCGGACTACACGAGCGTAGCCCTGACCAACCCGACCGGTGCCGTTGTCGGTCGTGACACTGGTCATTGGCAAGATTGTCCCTAAAGCCACAAATGCGCTCCCTCGCTCTTTGTGCCACCCTTACACAAGCAAACTATGCGCACCACCATGACCTACATTGTGGCTGCCTCTAAGAACACTTAGAAAACCCCGCTTACCTATGACATAGAAAACCACACAAGATGACCAAGAAGGTGTTGGAAGATGTTGGAACCCATCCATCCCCTTAAAAGCCCGTAAATAAACAAGAAAATGTTGATGCCTGTTTGATCCCCTGAAACTGCTTGTGTACTGGATCAAGCAGGCAAGATCATGAGGAGAAACCAAGAGCGCGCGGCAATGCACAAACAGCAGCCTCCTTAGACGGGTGATTCAACCCATGCTAACCAGTGAGCAAGCAATCTTGAATGAATTGGTGAACATATGCTTCTTGAAAGTAGGGCCCCTGCGCAACACCATTGCTCCCTGCACTACCAAAAAGAGGAACAGATGCGACCTCTTCATCCTGCTCCCACCAATGGCTCAACTATGGAATTACCAATGCTCGGAATCACCTCTTTGTCCTAGCTAGCACGACGATGCCAGGCCTCTTTGACCTCTTGTGCCACTTCCTCAAGCTTTCTTTTCTTGTGAGTTGGGAGGTCATCTCTGTTCTCATCCAGGTTCTACTCCCTGAAGAAGCAAAAGCAAGCCCATCTCTCCTTACCATCTGCCCAGACTGGCTTGTAGCTTGCATGGGCAAGTTGCTGGGTGTTGAGAAAGCAGACATCTAGGGGCTGCAAAAGGACCTGCACCTTGAAGTCTGGGAGCACTAGCCAAGCTGCTGCACCAAAGTTAAGGAGGCAAGAGGGTTCAGCATGCTGATCATCCTTGTGGCTTCCTGGAGTGTACCCATCAAAGACTGTGACCATGGAGAAGAAGTTAGGGCAAAGCACACCAGCTGATGGCCAGTGCTCCTTGATCCACTCCATGGCTGTGTTCCTCTTCTTGAGGCCTTCATCCCACTGCTTTGGTAGATGTGCACTGCACAAAGGCTCAACATGGCTGGTCATGTACTTCTGCCACCAGATCATAAAGCTTGTAGTCTTCTCTTGTTTTGCTGTGACATTATCTGACAGTGAGCTTTGTGTCAGCAAGCCTTTGCAGTGCTGTCTTACTCAATGTTGACAAACCAGTGCTGTCTTACTCCACAAACCAGCTCCCTCACTCACTTTGTAGCAGATCTTTGATTGGCCCATGCCAGCTACAAGCTTGGTCATACCAAAACCCCAGACTGAAGCACCTGGTGTTGGCACCCTCTGCAGGCTGGGCAACCTTCTTCTCTTGAGCTGCCTTTTCCTTTCTCTCCTTTTCAGCTTTGATCTCAGCAAGAGGCCTCACATCCTTGTCATTCTCTCCATCCCTGGTAGCCCTTCCTTGCCTAGAGTCTTTGCATAGCTCTTGAATGGCATCAAAGATGACCTTGCCTTCTGTGGCATCCTTGGCCCATCTCTTCTGTGTGCAAGATTAGGGGCAGTGAACCTACACAGCAGAGATTCTGACTGCTCATTGACCAGGAGCACCTTCTTGTAATAGGTCAAGGGACCTTTGTGGTCTTCATGCTCAACCATTGAAGCTCCTGTGATGCTTGCCCATCTGGCTGTTGGTGGCTGTCCAGCCTTGTGCTCTGCAAGAGTTGGGCGCATCACAGCACTTGTACATCCATCAACTTGATGCTGGGTGACCTGAAGAAGGACATGTTGCTCAGTAGTAGAAGCCCCAAGCTCAAGAGCTAAGTTTCTCTTGAGCTGGTAGACATCTGGTCCTGCTTTGGGCTTGATAGCTTGCTTTGACATATTGATGTTAAGGGACAGAGTGAAGGTGATGGGATGATTGAGATGGAAATGGCAGAGTGATGGTGGTGGTGGGAAGGAAGCAGAGAAGAATGCAGATGGAATTTGATCACACTCATCACTGCTGGCTGCCTGCCAGCCAGCCAGCTGCGCGAGTCAATCAAGGTAAGTCCTTGCACGCCGCGCGCGTAAATCAGGCGCGTCCAAATCCATGTTGGTAGGCAGCAAGAATGCTGCCGCCATAGGGGCTTCACTTGCTCAACCCTCCTTTCACATCGACATGCTCTTCTTGACCACCCACCAGGCAGGCTATCTACCTCTACTACAGGCACCTGTCCCCGAAGCGCGGGCTGAACGCCATGATGTGATTTGAGGGACAAGCGCAAAATCTCCAAACACAAGCTCCGCAGACCTCCGGACGCGTTTTGGGGGCGGAGAGCACGCGCGCGCGCGCTAGTTTACGCCTTGAAATCCACGACTTGCACCATTGTGATTCTTGATTAAGCTTGTTAGGAGCGCATTCCTGAGAGCTTTGAGGAAAACCTAAGAATTCATCTTGTCTCTATTTCAGACACCCTTGTTATCCCACACTTGCCCCTACCCGCGCCGCGCATACAGTGCAGCCTTCTGATGCCGATTGATTATAAGCGTGCGTGCGTGCGTGCGTGCTCGCATGCCATCATTCACTTTGTATCCTGCTGACCCCACGGCTACACAGGTCATCTGAGCGCAAGACAAAGCAGGGCGAGTGGATGGAGCCGTGGTGTAATGATGTGCGGTACGCCGCCAGCAGCTTCAAGAGGTTTGTCGGAATGGCGTGCGCATCCCAGCGCGATCACCGCATCGGCGGCGTCTGCGGACACGGGCAGCGCTCATTCATTGATGTGTGCGCTCTTGCTCGCACTCGTGACTCGCTTTGGGAAGGCCGCTTGCAAAGCGCATCAAAGTATGAAATCAAGAATTGTAGGACGTGTGCGCGCGCATAAATGCCGCCGCAGATGGGTACATACGCGTCCTTTAGGACTACCATCATCGACGAATGCGTGCAACAATAATCTTGCGTTCATTGCCGCGCGCGTGCCTTGCAAGAGAGGCTACTCAAAAGAGGGGCGCGCACGGGCGCAGCACGCCGTCATCCATAAGCGGGGCATTGTGCGGGCGCTATCGCGATCCGGGCTGCGGAACGGCAAGCTTCGATTCACGTACGTGGCGCCTCTCTAGATGCCTTGTGATGATCCGCTCGCACAGCGTGCACGAGCGTGTTGGTGTGAGCCAGCAATCGGGCATCCGCAATCAGCTCAGAGCCGACAGTCTTGAACCTCGACAAGCTGTCCGCAAGGGTGTTGAGCTCTGTGGGTATCCAGCACGCTTCCAAGGTGAAGTCTCCCTCAAGACACAAGCTGGCAATTTGTCGAAGGATCAATCCAGCATGCTTGGGAGTCGTACGCCAAGCGCATATAGCGTCCTTTAAGCCATGATTATCGGTCCAGCAGACAATCTTGTGCCCAGCCCATTCCGGTGTCGTCCAGCGTCGCAGGGCTTGCAGCAAAGCCCACATCTCTTTGCAGTAAATCTGGCAAGCCGTCATTTCCTCGTCATATGTGGACACGAGAACAGCTCGAGGATCGCCTTGTTCGCGGCCGATATGCGCGCCAATGCCCTCTTGACCACTCGCATCGGTCCAGATCTGCTCGGGGTACAAGGGCGGGTGATGGATGCTCAGCTTTCCATTGCGCCTTGGCAGCTCGACAAGCCACCAGTCCAGGTCCAATTGCATCTGAGGCGAGATCGATCTTTTTCCAAACTCAGCGCCCTGACTTTCTGGAAGATCTATGGCCGCAGACAATTCTAGCAGAAAGGGCCGCCCAAGAGGCAGCACTCGCGTTGCGGCAGAAAGCAGCCCTGCGAGACTCTGAAGCTGTTTCACGCCTACAAGCGAAGCACAGCAGGCTCTTCGTATAGCATTGAGCGTCAGGTCCACCTTTGCGTCCGAAAGCGACAACGTGAAAGCTACCGTGTCGATCTGGATGCCAAGGACCTCGACCTTTGTTGCCGGTGGAACGTCCTTGCCTGGAGTATCAGGTGGATGAAGCTTCACTCCAACAAGGTCAAGGAGCTTTCGGGTCAGGCTATAGTCCTCTTGTGCCTTGCTCAAAGAGCTCCTGCAGCCGAAAAAGTCGTCTAGATAGTGTCGGACGTCCACTTGCCAGCGCCGAAGGATCCACTCGCATGGTTCGGGGATGCGTATGTTGAAGAGGCCGGGCGAAAGTGTGTAGCCGAAGGGTAGGGAACAATCCACGTAGGTAGCGTCACGCCAGACGAACCCAAAGAGCTGCGCTTGTCCTTTCGCCAAGCGAATGTTCCTGTAGGCGTCCTGGATATCCGTCTTCCAAATGAAGCTGCCAGGGCCGCAAGCACGCACATCTTCGAGGAAGCTGTCGAGGCTAAAGTGAACCAGTGGCAACTTGCTAGAAGACGCGAAGCTGTTGATGCTCTTTGCAGTTTTTTCGCCGCTCTGTGCGATTTTCTTGCCGATGGGATAGGAAAGATCGTGTATCAGACGATCTTTGCTGCCTTGTCGACGTTTGATCCTCAAAGGAGACAGGGAGACAAGAATGCTTTCCTTTGGAGCAGCCAGACGAACCGAACCGCTGGCAATGCGTTTTGCCATTTCTCTCTCAACAAAGTCGTCACCATCCACCGCTTTTAGATTGTGTGGGCAGATGAGTGGTTGATGCCAGATGCAACTTTCTTTGGGCACGCCAACCAGAGCGCCAAAGTATGCAGTGTGGGCCAGTCGTCGAATAAGTTTTTGGTCCTCGTAGGTCCTCATCAAGAACAAGAAAGCACCTGCATTGTACGCAGGCTTGGACAGCGGCTCTGAAACGTTCTCCACATTGGCAAATTCAAAGTCGCACTCGCAATTTGGCATGCGATTGCTCTGAAGGCGAGGAGCCCGACCAAGCTCAGAGGCATGGTGCTCCCAAGCTACGCATGCCAGGTACAAGCTTCGAGCGTCCTTTTTGCTGATTTGCCAAGCCTCCATGGTCCAAGAGAAGGTCGAGCAAGAAGGAAGGAATGTGAGAGTCAGGCAAGAGCAGACTGAGCTCACACATCGAGCTGCAGATGAAGGAATCCATGAGTTGACCGACGTGCCTCTTATAGCCGGGTTGAAGCATCATGCCTCCCTTGAGCACCGTGAGCAGACAGATGGACACTCGGAACGGATTGCGCTCGCTATCCATCTTGCCGACAGGATAAGGTAGGCCATCGAGACACGATCCTGGACTGCGACCGGCTCTGTTCCCGTCTGTCTTCCTAGCGCGCCTCTCACGCTATCACCCCACCCGACGCAGTCGCTCGGGCACCGGCCGAGCTACCCAACCGGAAGCAGTATCGTCCGTTTTGTCGATTGGCTTACACTCATTGAAGAGCAGTCGTCTCATCAATGATCATGATTTTGCGACTCGTGACTTGTGATATTGTCAGGACCCGGGGGTCAGTGTAGGTTTCAGGCGCGCGAAGCGGCACCGAAATGTGGCTCGGGCCCAGAAAGCGAGGCTGCGGCTCTAGGTAAATTTCTTGGAGGCGGAGGTGCAGGCCGAGTGCCGTACTGCATTCACCCTCGCAAGCAGCGCTCACAGCATACCCTCGCTCATCGCAAGCCACCCTGCTGGCAAGCCTGCAACCCCACACCCGCTCCGCTCCGCATCTCAGCCACTTTTGCCGTATGCTCAGAATGGCAACTTGTTGTGAGAGTAAATCATGATCAATTCGTGGTTGCGATGATGATCGTGGTGAACAAGACTCAATCAACAAACAAATAATCTGTAATCAGAGGTTGTCTGGATTACAAAACGCACATGGCTTGCAGCGCCGTATAGGGCTCAAACTTGGTACGGCCTCGGCTCCGCTCTGGTGGCCGTAGAGTCCGATGAAAGTTTGTACGGGTTCCGAATACAATTGCTCCCCAAACAATCGCTAGCAGGATTGAGCCCAACTTGATAGAGTAAGGGAGCGTTTTTAGTCATCGAACTCGCGCCAATGTGTAGGAAACGCGCATCACCGGGGCGCGCGCGCCTGCGTTCAAACGACTCATTCTTCGCATTCGCGTTTGCGAGTACGATGAATACAAGTCGCCGCGTTGACGCTTCACGAGGGCTGCAAAGTCATGCCTCGACATTCACGATGCACTTGCCGTCGCTTGTCCGTTGCGCTTTGCTGGCGTCGGCAGCATCGAGCAGGAAAGGCTGAGCACGAGGTATGCGCTCGACCTCGCCGCGGCAGTGAGGCATAGGTGACGCGACCACCTGCGTACTCAAGGCTTTCGCAATGTTTTTCCCCATCTCCTCATCTCCGAACCGCGCGGAAGACTAATTTCAGAATCTGCGCTGGCTTCAAGCTCGAAGAGCGTCGGTAATGCTCCGTGGCAAGACCCGCGGTCGTCTATTAGACAGCGTCACTCAAACCCGGCTGGGCAATGACGGTGCGACGCGTTCGAAGGACACAAACAACATCTAGAAAATCAACCTTTGTGTCAGTCTCGTGTGCGCTCAGCTCTTGCCCCATGTGAGGATGGGCAGCTTGGCATCATTACACTGTCAACATTCGATTGCCTCGACTCGGCCCAGACCATACCGCTCGTGCCTTTGCTCCCTGGGAGCGGCAGGCGGATTCCACCTCCCCAGAAGTCGACTCTCGCTTGACAATCGTCTGACGAAATGTAGAGATAAGGGCGACGTCTGAATGTCTTTGCTAGTTTTCTAGATGTTGAGAGATGGTGATGTGGGTCCTCTTGGCGCTGGTGGTTGCCGATTGAGAAGGCATCTTCGTGTCCCATGATGGGGCTTGCGGCTGTCCTGATCACGAGCATGGGTCATGCAAGCAATGACAGCGTTCTAGCATGAGGCCGTCGACAGAGGTAAGCAGGTCGGTAGGAAGTCTGGCTTGCGCTCTTTGGATTGGGGCGACGTTCATTCGGCGTTGCGGACACAGCAGTATCCGGAGCAAAATTCTGGTTGCCGTAGCCGCAGCTAGCCTTGCGGCCATTTGGGAAAGACGCGAAGACGCACTCCGCTTCTTGAATGCGGATCAACCTACTTCGACATCCTCCATTTCCGCATCTTCCTCCACTTCGCCATCGTCTGACCTTTTGGGCGGTGTTCCGAGCGTTTCGGAGGTTCGATCGTCAAGTTCTGCCATCACATCGTCAGCTTGCGCTGTCTGCGTTCCGCTTTGCACGGCTGTTTCGTTTGCGTTGGAAGCACCGGCCTGCGGTGCGGATGATGGCTGCTGAGCAGGAACACTTTCTGATGACTCTGCTGCTGGCTCCGCATCTTGCCCAATGACCAAAGAATCCCGCTGCGCTGCGCTAACGAGTCCAGCGATCGCTGCTGCACCGCGATCTCCGGTGAAGCTCTCCACCTCCTCATCCGAGCGCGATTCTCCCTCACTTTCCTGCTCAACCTCCACAGCATCAAAGACCTGTTCCAAGCCCAACAATGCGAGAAGCTGGAAACACTTTTTGCGCTCTTCTTTTGTGGCACAAATCAAGCGTCGCGCTTCTTCGTTGGGGGTTACAGTGGTCGGGACGAAGTGAGTGGACGTGGATATTGTCTCGTGTGAGCTCGACGAGTGGTGTTGCACCTCTGCAGAGGAGCTGTCGACGACTTCGAGCGAGTTGACGAGGGACAGCTTGAGAGCGTGCGAGAGGAGTGTTAATGATTGAGCTGCTCTGACCTGCGCGTGGAGAGCGGCACAAGCGGGTTTCAGTGAGAGGCAGAGGGTGGAAGGCGAGGGAGATGGGGATGGGGAGGGAGAGAGGCAGAGCGCGCGCAAGGGCTGAGCGACACACGAGTCTGGTGCGATGACTGACCATGTTGTGCGCTCTCGCCTCTGCCTCTATGCCATCCTGCGTAGCTTGATACGCGTCCTTGTCCCTGATCTGCCAATGTGTGGGTTGGGTGCAGCCGGGTGGGGAGATGATGATGATGATGATGATGAGCATAGAGACCCGCATGTATGCGCCTCGCCTCGCCTCGCCTCGCTAGGCATGAGCAGAGCAGAGCAGAGCGCACGCATGACTCGCACTCGCACTCGCACTCGCACTCGCACTCACAGCTGCCAGGCCCACAATGTCGCGAAAGGAATCCATGAGAGAGGCGATGTCGTCGTCGATCGACTTGTTGACCTTTTCCGCCACGACGTCCACAAGCTCCTTGGCCTTGGCCTTCGAAGAGCTCATCCTCGCGCGCCTACCCCGTCTCGCCTGACAATGAGGTGTGTGCGTGTGCGTGTGCGTGTGCGGGTGAGTGCATTGGAAGCTGATTGAGAATGACGAATCGTGAATCACGAAGGGAGATCACGAGTCCGAGTTGCGTGTATATACCTACCCGTGCGCTTTGCTTTACGAAAGATTCACATTCACACATTCAATGATCAATGATTCACATTCAAATGGTGATTCACATTCAAATTGTGATTCACATTCAAATTGTGATTCGCATTTCACTCTGTTATGATTCACGATTAGAAGCAACAACGCCCGCACGCTCATCGGCAGCTTCCAAGAGCGCGCCTTGTCACGCACACACCTGCCTGTCCGCGCCCGCGCCCGCGCCCGCGCGCACGGGGCATGTGGAATCTTCGTCACGTGCCAGATAGCAAAGGTAAACTTGATTCAAATTCACGATTCATATTGTGATTCAAATTCACGATTCAAGATTCGTGATTCCAAAATTTGGAGAGGCAAGCTGCAGGTCGCGGTATAGCCGTGGGTGCACTCACTCACTCACTCAGACTCGTGACTCCATCTCCATCAAGGGTCATCGTCATCAGCAGGCGACGTGCAATTCACGATTTGAACGCAGCACAGCTCAAGCCTCATCACTCACCACACCGACACCGACACCGACACCGACACCGACACCGACACCGTCGCGAGAGCACGAATGTAGCTACTGAGCCAACAAACTACATTCGCACTCAGCCTCATTGCGCACACTTCCCCCGCGCCTCAACCTCCAGCCCATCGTGGCTGCCCCCAAGGCCACGTAGTACCCACAGTCACCGCCATTATTGCGGCTGCCACTGCCACTGCCACTGCCACTGCCACTGCCACTGCCACGTCGAGCTTAGTGATGTTGCTACAAGCTCAATCTCAAACATCGCTGCCTCTCGGCTCCATCAAAGCTTCTCACTCCGCTTCACAATTCTCCGACGCTCCCGATGACGAGACTCTGCCGCTAGACGTGGACATCCATGCGCGCTCCTCGTATCCTCGGTCTGTCGCTGACGATGTGCTCGACGGAGAGGGGAAGGAGGAGGAGGAGGGCGGCGTGTACGATGAGGACCTGAGGAAGTGGTATGAGGAACATGGTATCGATCCGAACGATGCTGATCAGCAGGAAGAGCTAGAGCACGAGGAGAGCGAAATCAGCAGCTTTGGGAAAGTCGAGGATGCAGACTGGGACTTGGCCAGAGGAGGTGAGTCAGCATGAGCGGGGAGAAATTCGGACGCATACATGCCACCAGAGGCATTGTCTGGCAGACAAGGCTGGACGTGCGGTGCGGAGGCCGGCGCATACGTGCTCATCCGTCCCTCTCTCTCTCTCTCCCCTTTTCACCAGACTTTACCAAAGCGTACAACCGATCAAGGCAGCTCGCTCGCGTAGGCCAACAGATGAGCGGAGGTGCGGTCAATCAATCAAAGGCGGGCGGAAGCACGCAAGACAATGCGGTGCGATCCACCACGGCAGTGCCATTGCCCGCAATGAACCGAGCGGGTGGCGCGACTTCAAAGGTCCCTCCTTCCAAAGCGCATACAGGCAGATCTGCGGCCGACGTCGCACGTAGCAGTGCCCCTTTAGACGCAGCCTCAAGCGTGGAAAGCTGCGAGCCATCGCGCATTGTTACGCTGCAGACCTTGGGGCTAGGCACATCCGCACCCCAACCAAGCGCTTCGACTCTCTCTTCCCTCTCCTCTCGTCTGCAGATCTTGCAAGCCTACGATCCGTCTTCAAGCGCAGGAGGCGCTCTATCTACCAACGTTCCCCGTAAAGGAGCGCTGGGCGTTGGCGGTACCAGAAAGGTCAGGGACAAGTCGGATAGAGCGACGAAGCAGCAAGTGCTGGATCCCAGAACGCTCACCATCCTCTTCAAGATGCTAAACAAGGGCACGCTAGAGCGGATCGACGGGGTGGTCAGCACTGGTAAAGAGGCGAATGTGTACCATGCGACGACGCCCGCTCCTGCCAGAGGAGATGAGGTCCATGACCAGAATGAACACGCTAGCGTCACGCACCGTACATCAAACGGCCGCCCTGTCGGAGGAGGCAATGTAGCTCTGAAGATCTTCAAAACCTCCATCTTGGTCTTCAAAGATCGCGACCGCTACGTCTCGGGGGAGTTCCGCTTTCGACATGGTTACGCCCGCCACAATCCTCGCAAGATGGTCAAGATGTGGGCCGAGAAGGAGGCGCGGAATCTAAAGAGGCTGGTCAGTGCGGGTATACGTTGTCCTAGACCCATCGAGCTGAGAGACCATGTGCTGGTCATGCAGTTCTTGGGAGGCAAAGACGGCTGGGCGAGCCCGAGATTGAAGGATGCGGAGGAATTGGTGGATCAGCAGGAAAGTGGGACTTGGGAGAGACTGTACAGGGAATGCGTGACTGCCATGAGGGTCATGTACCATGCTTGTCATCTCGTACACGCAGATCTCAGCGAGTACAATGTTCTGTAAGTGCTGCCGACACCTTGCTGCAGAGAGCCTTGCCCGCTCACACACCCGTCCTCTCGTCGGCACACGCAATTGTCAACCAGATACCACGATTCGCATTTGTACATCATCGACGTGGGTCAAAGTGTCGAGCACGACCACCCCTCCGCTTTTGATTTCCTCCGAGCAGACATTTCGCACGTTGACGATTACTTCAAGAAGCGCGGTGGGGTCAAGACGTTGGGTCTGCGGCAGACATTCGATTGGATCATTAGAAATCCAGCAGGCAGGCGGAGTGGCGGTAGAGCAGGATTGGAAAAGGAGGGAGACGACTATGATAATTTTGTTCGGGCAGAAGATGTGCGCAACAGATTTTCTGAGGTCTGTCAAGAGGACCAAAAGGATCCAAGGGGCGACAAAATAATGGACTTTGATCGTCAAGGCGATCAACTGGCTACGACTGCCGTGCCAATCAGCGGACCTTTTGCTACCATCGAAGTCTATGACCGTCTCCCTGGAGAAAGCGATGAGCAGCTAATGCGCGAGCTCGAAGGCATCATGGACAAAGAGGCCGAGCTCGACGGTCTTGCAGACTCGGCACAAGAGTTGAGCGTCGGCGGTACCAGCACAAGCGCCCAAGCGCACCCAAGACATGATGAGAAAGAATCGGACGAGGCGGTTTTCAGATCCTCTTATATCCCTCGAACGCTAGATGAAGTCTATGATCCAGAGAGGGATACGGACATTGTCAAGGCAGGGGGTGGTCAAGATCTCATTTACGCCAACGTGACGGGTCTACCAGCTTCGAAAGATCGGGACTATATCCAGCCGAATTCGCAAGCAAGTTCCAACGAATCCGAGGACGAAGGATGCGAGGACGAGTCTTCTTCGGACGACGAAGGACACGCGCATGCGCCGAGAGGGCACAGGCACGAGGATAGGGATGCGAAGAAGGAGAGGAAGAGTGCGGTCAAGGAAGCTCAGAGAGAGAAGAGGAAGAGCAAGATGCCTAAAAAGGTCAAGGAGGCTCATTTGAGAAAGAAGAGTGGCAAGCGAAAGTGAGCTTGCATGGACCGCCTCGCTGCATTGGGATAGCGTCCTGCCTAAGGAAGACTTGCGGAAGTCCAGCCTGGCATTCCTCCATGTATTTGTATCGCGGGCAATGGCCGATGCTTGCCAAGACGCAAGCTCAAGGCAAACACAAATGCCATTCCGAAGCTGTCTCGAGAATCTGCGCGATGCAAATGATGCTGATGCTGATGCATGAACACCGCCGCACCCGCCTCACAATGTGAATAGTGAGTGCATTTCGTCGTGGATCTTGATCGGCCAAGTTCAGCAGACGCCGGGGGCGCCGGGAGCGTGGGAACGTCCACTTCGATAGTGATCGCGCTACTGCCGCGCTAAGGATGCGGCCTGTGCCGACGCTTGGCTGCCTTGGAAGACGCACAAGCAAGTGTGCGCCACCTCCCGCACGCGGTGCCTGCAGCACCTCCACTCACCAGCCAGCACTACTGCTGCGCGCACACTTTGCGCCCATGCAGCAGCAGCGGACCGGCTAGACCGCCAAGCGACCCCGCTTTCTTTTCAGACCGGGCAGACCTGCTGAGCGCTTGTTGTGTGGACGGGGACGTTGGAGCTCGAGCGGCTTTCAGTGTCAAAGCCGTGTGATTGGGATTTGCACATGTCCTCGCACCCATCGGCAAACTTTGGCTTCAATCACTCTCGGAAGCGCACGCGTGGCGTGGCACTGATGCGCTCGCGAAGCAGGTAGATGGTTGCATGCGGTCCACATCTTCTCCCCCACCTTCACTCACCTTTGTGCCTATCGAGTCAGCAGAATCATCTATTGCACTGACTCTTCCTTCCGCAGACATCTCTGACCTGCCTGCCTGCCTGCCTGCCTGCCTGACTCTAAGGAATTGCAAATATGTCATCGCAGGGGCCACCGCTCAATCCGACTGTGTACGATGCTGAGACGAAGATTTTCAGCTCCGAGTTGGTCAAGCAATTTCCCCCGCCTACTGCCAAGACGGTCTGGAGTCTGCTGATGGGCGATGCAGAGGGTGACGAGGAGCACGTCGTATTCATCGACACTGAGGATGGCACGGAGTGGAAGTGAGTGGAGGGAATGAATGCGCTCCTGCCCTCCAACAAGTGCCGACTGGCTCATGCGTCTTGCTCCATTGCCGCTGTGCCAGACTTGGCCAACTCAGAGTCCTCGCGGAGCGTCTAGGCGCTGGCCTGACGCGAGATGCTCAAATCCCAGCAGGCTCGGTCGTGATGCTGCTTCTTCCCAATTCCATCCACTTTATCGTCGCCTTGCTGGCAGCCCAGTATGCTGGACTCACCGTAGCTCTGGCCAATCCAGCATACACGACGCACGAGCTTTCCCACTGTCTGAGACTGACAAAGCCGGTGAGGATATTCAGTGTCAGCAAGCTGCTGGGTCTCGCAACAAGGAGCGGGGCGACGTGGAGCCAGTGCATCGTCATGGATACACATGTAGGCTACGGCACGATATTTTGGCGGGAATGTTTGAAGAGCGCGGAAGAAGCTGGTGAGGCAAAGCCTAGAGAGGTGGATCCTTCTAGCGTTGCCTACCTGCCCTTCTCCAGCGGCACGACTGGTCTGCCCAAAGCCGTATGCATCTCCCACGCCAACATTGCAGCCATGTGTCACATTATCTCCATCACGCCAGGAGCGTACGATCGAGGTGTCAGAAGCATAGGATTTCTTCCATTCTTCCACGCCATGGCTCTCCTCCTCATGATCCACATGCCCATCTATCGCCGCGGCACGATCTACATTATGGCTTCATTCAATCCAGCTAGATTTTTGCACATAGCACGAAACGCGGGCTGCACGGATCTATCACTTGTGCCTCCCATCTTCACCATGCTGGTGACCAACGCCGACATTCCTCGAGATTCTCTCAAAAGTGTGAGGACCATCAGATGCGGAGCGGCACCCCTGGACTCCGCCATGCAAGTCGCCTTTGCCGAGAAATTCGGCATCGAGGATATTCGTCAGGGCTGGGGAATGACGGAAACGACGGTGGGGTGTCTAGGTTTGGCTGCGGGCTCGACACCAGGGACAGTGGGCAACATACTGCCCTTTGTGCAAGCTCGGATTGTCGACCCGGAATCTGGCAAAGATGTAGAGAGGGGCGAGAGCGGAGAATTGTGGGTCAAAGGCCCAAACATTATGCAGGGATATCATGCAAATCCGCAAGCGACGACGCAAGCTTTCTCGGATGGCTGGTTGAGAACGGGCGACGTGGTATTCGCAAACGAAGTGAGCGATGCGGTCCCACTTTGTCCTTGGCGCAGTGCTCAACGCTGAGCTTTTCCTTCTGCCATGCCAAGCGCGGCGAGTTCACTGTGAGTAGGCCTTTCTGATGACAGGTCGTGCAGGGTGTCAATGTTGACGTTCTAAACCTTCTGGTCTCAATCTCAAGATCATCGACCGCATCAAAGGTGAAGCGTTGCGTCATCCCGTGACCTTTCAGTGATGTAACTGGGCGGGCTGACGATGAATTCGTCCCCGCCTGCCGCAGAGCTGATCAAGTACAAAGGTTGGCAAGTGGCTCCAGCAGAGCTGGAAGGTCTGTTGCTTTCGCACCCCAAGTGAGTTCTTCCTGCTTGGCGAGCACTGGCTAATTGCGATCGAGAGCGAGCCTGTCCTCAAATTGCCACCTTCTCGCCGCCTTGTATAGAGTTGTGCAAGCTGGAGTGATAGGTATCTACGATAGAAAGCAAGGAACGGAGCTGCCACGAGCTTACAGTGAGTATTTCACGGCCTGCTGGCCTACTTTGCGTCATTTTACTGCTGGTGGTCATGAAATGCGTGCCTCTTCGTGCCCACCACAGTCAAGGTGCAGAACAGCTCCAACGAGCCAGAGGAGCTCGTGCAGGAACTGCAAGCTTTTGTGGCCCGCAAGGCTTCTGCGCAGAAACAGCTGCGAGGCGGCATACGAATCGTCGACGCTGTGCCTGTATCCCCTAGCGTGAGCGTCATGCGGCCGATCTGGTAACAACAATGGAGCGTTTGTTATCCGATCACCCTTTTGACTATCAGCGCGCTGACACGAACACAACCTGGCTCGATTCGCGCCAGGGAAAGGTCCTTCGTAAATTGCTGCGGGCCATGGTGCAGAAAGAAGAAGCAGCGGAGAAGGATGCTATGGGCGCAAGCAAGCTTTGACGCATGGCTAGAGATGAAGTGTCTGCCTGATCACGTTTGGAGGATTTGTACCATCAGCTCATCTTCAGTACTTTGCACGATTCTGCACCCTCTCAATCATTACTTGCTCTGCAAACGAATCGATGCGATGAGCATTTCTTTGCTGCAGTAAAATGGTTCGAAACGCAGCTCCCGATCGCCGCTGGAGCGCGTCGAGTATGCCTTCACGACAATCGCAATCTACTTTGAAGCTTCCTGCTTGACCTTTTCCTCCAAGCGCATGCTCTTTGGTAGATCGAGAACATTGCGTCTGTCTAGCCTAGTCGCTGCCAAATGTCTAGCGTCCTGAGCCAAAAGAGCGTCGATGAGCACCAGGGCTGCCATGCTCTCCACGATTGGCACGGCGCGAGGAACGACGCATGGATCGTGTCTGCCCCGCGTTGCGAGTACGCCTGCTTTGCCAGTGTACGAAACCGTCTTTTGATCCTGAGAGATTGTGGCGGGCGATTTGAAACCGATTCTGCGTTGATCGCGCGCAAAGGGGCACGAAGGGTGTACAGGATAAAGCAGAGCTTTGCGATCAGCGACTGCTTACGGGGAGAAGTAACGACCAAAACATTCGGCGCTCTTGCAGCGGCGAATGCTGTCCCTTCATCGATGCGGACTCACCTGAAATAAATATCTTCGCCATTAGAGATGCCACCCTGAATGCCTCCGCTCCAATTCGTCTCTGTTCCCAATTTGCCATTCTTTTCAACAAAGGCGTCGTTGTGCTTGCTGCCGGGCACCTCAGTACCTCTGAAGCCAGATCCGATCTCGAATGCTTTGGTGGCTGGGATGGATAACATGGCGTGGGCCAACTTGGCTTCCAACTTGTCGAAACAGGGTTCCCCCAGCCCCGATGGAACACGGCGAATGACGCATGTCACTGTACCGCCTATCGAGTCGTTCTTGGATTTGGCCAGCAGAATGCGCTGGGAAAGGTACACGGCCAAAAGTGGACCACGCATCAGCTCCTTAGCATTCGCGGTCCTTGACGTGGCTTGTTGGCTCGCTCACCTGTCTCATCCGTTCTGCAGCCAAAGGATGGGGACATCGCACATCGTCCTTGTCCACCTCTTGTCTCGTGACTCTGTCAAGCAAGTTTCTGAACTCTTTACTCAGCGGTTCCTGGATCTCCTCCTCGTCCAACCCGCTTAGATCCAGCGTGTTATCCACTGCTCCAGCATGTGAGCCGATTGCCGCATCGGTTGAGGAAGTGGCTTTGGAGGCAGATGATTCTGAAGCCAGCTTCTCTCCAGGGAAGCGAGGTATGTGCACGGCGCCGACAGAGGATACGAAAGCGACGATTTCGACGCCGAATGCTTCGGAAAGATACTTTTCTGCCACAGCTCCCGCGGCGACTCGGCCTAAGAGGAGAGCGGACACCGGGCGTCAGCCTTGGTGAGCGATCGATAAAACAATTGATCGAGCTTTGAGAGTGCTCAGCTCAGCAGTGCACACGGCAATAGCTAGCGGAAGCCTGAGCGCGGTACTCAGCCCCGTCCCACCCTTTCCTTGCACTGAATGGCGCATACATGCAGCTCACGACGTGACCTCGTCAGCCCGTACACTCTTCAGCTGGCGCTTTGACTCACCGATCGTTTCCCTTGCCGAGCTCCTGCCACCTCCCGAGCTGGCCTTGACCCCGTACTTGTCCAGATACGTCCAATCCGCATGGCTTGGTCTCGGATACAGATCCAACGTCTCGTCCGTATAATCTTTAGGTCTCTGATCTTGATTCTTGACTAGCATGCTGATGGGCGTACCCAGCGTGACGCCCTTCTCTACGCCGGATTGGATGCTCACCTTGTCCTTCTCGTCTCGCTGGGCGAGAGCAGCAGCGCGTGTAAGAGACGGATGGGGAGAGAGCGTGAGCACAGGCACAGGCACAGGCTGGGGCCAAGGGTGCTCAAGAAGACGCGAGCGCACTCACGGGAGTGGTCAAGTCGCTCTGACCTGGTCTGCGTCGACTCAGTTGCACCTGCACATCCTCGTTGCTGAGCCTCATGCCCGGCGGACACCCATCCACGATGCATCCAACCGATTCGCAGTGGGATTCCCCATAGGTGGTGACCCTGAAGTGCGTTCCAAACGTCGACATGATTGCGTCTGTTTTGCACTCTTGACTCCTTCTACGAACCAAATCAGGTGCCAATAGATACGTGTGTTGCGCGGATGGGTGTGGCTCTTGTCTGATGCTGGCGACGGTGCAGTTTGGAGGAGAAAAGAAAGCCTTCGTGTCATGATGCGCAGGAAGCTTCGAAGCAGCATGCAAGCTCAAGTCACGTGACTGGTACAATTCAAATTGTGAATCTGCCTACACAACACGCTTTCCAGACTCACGACTCGCTCGCCTAACTTTCACCTTGAATCCAAGTCAAGAGTCACGCATTCTTGGACACGTGACTTCACTCCATCAAGCACAAGCACGTGGCTCTTGAGAACCTCACCCACTTACTTCACTTTCGCTTCGCTTCGCTTCTCCCACAGATCCCTCTCTTCGATCTCCTTCATCTTTCATGGCAGCCTTGCGACTCGAGAGTCGACCCTTTATGTTTGAAGCTGGACGCTGTAGATGGCTCCTTGTTCCAGAACTCGCAGGCTTGTCGTCGCTCTGAATGCAAGAGACGCCGAATCCTTCTGACGTGCGGCGACATCATCCGAGCCTGACTCTCAACTCACTCCTCGTCCTGCAGTCACGAGTCTAGCACTCTCGATTATAGCAGCGCATACAGGCATTCACGATTGTATTGGAGATGTCAAACGTGGATCGTCATGCTCTTTGCACTTGCAGAATCAACATCGAACATGAAAAAAAAGTGTCGCACATCCAAGCTCCCGTACGTCCCTGCACCGGGTCTCTCGGCCCTTTCAAAGAGTCGTCACTATCGGAGAAGGGTTGCGCTGCCCGGCGATTTCCCTCAAATGCCTGTTTTATGAGAAAGCAAAAAAAGCAAATCGTCGGGTTTTCGAGTCGATCTTCGAACCTCACCAGGAACCGTGCAAGCTTCATTTGAAGGGCTTGACGGGCAGAAGGGTTCGATGTTGGGGGGTGGAGAGGGGGACCTGATCTGAGACGTTTGTACTCACAGCCACGCAAGAACGAGAAAAGAGCAAGTGTCGCACGGCATGTGTGCGCTTGCGCTTGCGCTGTTCGCTGTTATAGCTGGCTTGCCTTGCTCACTCAGAGGCGCTTCTAATACTTGCGGGCGCGTCTCCAGTCTCGTAGCAAGTCTTGACCTCTCACGATTAGGGGAAATCGCGTTGCTGACCTGACTCACTCTGTTTCGCTCGCACTTCAAAGAGTGCGTACTTGACTACGACCAAGTGTGAACAGCTACTTTTGACTGCTCCACAGCTCGCCGGTTTGTGTGTGTGACCTTTGAATGGAGGCACGAGAGATGCTGGAAGATCGTGGCAGCTGCTGCTGCACATCATGCTGCCTGCTCGATAGGAAAATCGCGCGCGACTCAGCGCGCGAACTGAAAATGGCCTTGGAGCAAGTCTCGTACGAGATCGACGCGCCTTCTCAGTCACGTGTCAGCTTCAGGCTCGCGCGGCAAGGGCTCCACTCGTGACTCGGCGCGCGGTTCGAGGGCCAGGCAGGCAGGCAGGCAGGCAGGCAACGCGAATCGTAGACTCTATGAGAGCTCTCTACAGCACATGTGAGCCGTGATGGCAGCTTGTCGTGTGTGACTATACCATCACCCTTGGCCAAGAATCGTGAATACGTCAAAAGTGAAGCAAGCATCTTCGGAACTTGGAACTTGAGTCGCCTATTTTACCGCTTGCACACATTCAAAATTCCGCGCAGAAATTCGTGGTCGTGCATGCTCTAGTATCAAAGCTTGGCCAGCCATGTCTTCTCAGATTCCCGAAGATGCTCTGCACAAGGTCAGTCAGGATGCTAATCTCGTACTGCTTTCCTCTGCTGCGCGCTGCTATAGCTGTTCCAGTGCCATGACCATGGCTCCCCCCCGCTCAGACATTCACGATTGTGACTGACGATGAGATGATCTGACGTTGCGCGCGCATCCCGTTTCTAAGATCTTGGCGCAGATCCAACAACAAGTGCTCACATCCACTCGAGAGCTCAATATGGTCAGGGCGCAGTGCAACACGGTCGAGTCGCAGAGGAAGAGGACTCACTTGACGTTGGAGCAGATCGAGGAAGAGAGAGATGGAGATAGATTGTGGAATGGTGTGGGCAAAATGTGAGTCATTCGTGGAAGGGGGGGCGGGGCGGGGCGGGGCTGCGGGCCAGTAGCAGTCTGATGCGTGCGAGCTGCTGGAGCGTGTGTATGCCATCATCAACGTGACGTGTAGGCTCATGATTCACGGTCTGCTCCTCTTGCATCCGCGATGCGCGATGTCGATGCTGTGCTGTGCTGTGCTGGCAGGTTCATGCTGCAAGACAAATCGCACATCGTCACGCAGCTGAGCAGCAAGGAGAGGTTGCTGGCTGAAGAGGTGGGCAACTTGAGCAAGAAGCAAAAGGTGCGTCAAATTCGAGGGCGTCGCATTGCATTCATTGCATGCACCGTGGTCCTGCTGTCCTTTGCGTCCATAATCCAATCCTTGCTGACATTCGAATGCCGAATATACACACACACAAATCGCATGAGCTTAGTTTTTGGAAAAGCAAGCGTCGGATGCTCAAGGTCACATGCGGGACATTTTCAGAGGCGTGCAAGCTCAACAAGCAGCCCAAGCTTCATGAAAGTCTGAGTAATAAATAACATTCAAGCAAAAGATAGCAGACATGACTGTTGTGCATGTTCGTGATGCAAATCGCTAGATTGAAGTAGTATATGTATATAGCTCTTCTGATGCTAAGCGTTGAAAAGTTTGATTGTTTATCTTTACCACCGTTGCGTTCCATTCTAAGCTGCGTGGCTGGACCAGACCAAGCGTGCACGCGCAGCTCTTGTGAGACCCTCCCTCGCCCGTCCAAATTCGGCCCTCAGACTCACGCAAATCTATGACTCGTGACGCTTGCTTGGCTTTGCTTCATGCGGAGATCTGGACCGTGGGTTAGGTACGTCGCTGTTTCGAAAGCGCACTCGTAGCCAGCCGATGTGGTATGAACGGTCAAGCGAGGCCGCGTCGTCGCACCTGCTGGGCGTGCGCGTTGGACCTACACTCCAAAAAGCTGAGCTGAGCGTCGGACAGCGGGCTGCGGGCTGCGGGCTGGGTCCGCGATCAGCTGTCGTGCACCGGCAACTGCTCGCCAGTCGGACTGATTCTGCGTCTTGTACCGCTTCAGTCGTCAGCGTGGCGGCTCAGCAAGTCCTTTTGGCCCCCCCTCACCATGTCATGCCATGCCATGCCAGATGCGTGTCTCATCATTCACCACTCGAAGCACACGCCCACGAAGCACAAATCGAGGGAAAAGAAACTCGTACAGATTGCATGGGGAATGCGTGGGTTGTAAGTCGTGAGACCCGTGCGTGTTGTTAATTTTGCGTGGACCAGGCGTGATCCCCCTCTACGCCAAGAAGCCTGCCTTACCCCATGCATAGGGGCTCACATGCGCCTAATCCAGACCATCTCGGCCGTCTTGCCTTCCATCCATTCTTCACACCGACCAACTCTACTCCTGGTCGATGACGGTGGTTTGGAGGCCGTGGAAGTTGGTGATGCCGAGTACGGGAGTGACGAGAGTATACAGGCGCTCCTTGGCTTGGTCATCGTCGTTACGCTTGCCTGTAAGTCCCGAGGCGAGCGTTGCAGAGAGCTATGTTAGCTCTCCAATCCCAACCTCGTGACAATGAACTACATTGATAGCGCAGAGACATTGCTCTCGACGCCTTCGCCATGGCAGAAGGCATCGGAGGTCTTCTCGAGCGATTTACCAGGGCCGGTAACGTATACACCTCCCGTGGCCAGTTGGCACGTCGGCATCCGGATGTCTCCCACGCGCGAAACTCCTTGCTTCCTCTGATCCCCATCGCCTCACATGCCAGCCAATGCAGCCCCTTGACACCTTTCTTGCTCTCTCAATCCCTCCAGACGGCGGCTGTGGGTACTCACGTTCGAGACGGAAGCGAAGTCTACGAGGGACATCCTTGATACCCAACTGCCAGATGACGTGGTTTGCCTTTGGGTCGAGACGCACATCCTTTGTTCCCATCAGCTTGGTTACCCATGCTCGCACCTCCTTGACTGCTCTGGGAGATCGGTGCTTGAAGCCAAGGCCGTGCACTGTTGAGAGAGAGATGGTGTTGGTGCGTGAGAAGGGGTCAGTAAAGGTGCCACTAATGCTTGTGGGTTTGCAGTCCTGCGTCGCTTCCCAATCAAACAAAACCGCCCGCGTGACAGACGACGTATGGCAGTGATGCTCGACGAATGATGCCAACGCCGCTAGCTCCAAGCCGTGAGATGACAGGTGGGATTGCCTGGCCACTCGACCCCGCGCGCCTTTTTTCCACCCTTTGCACAGCGTCCACACGCAGACGCCTCTTTCCGAAGTAGAGATGAGGCCTCCAGCACAGACCTCGAGCACCGCTTCTCGCACCATCCTTGGCTTTCATGACCTCCCCACAGGCCCTCATCGTCTATCGCAGCAGTCCCCACAACGAATGCTCACCACGCTTGTGAAGGTGAATGGAAGCCTCGATGGTCTTGACATCGTCCAGAGCGGAACGAGTCTTCTTCTGCTTGGGATCACGAGCCATCTTGAAGAGTGCTGTAAGCGTGTCTTGTTGAATGTGGGTTGATTGTGGTGGTGGACAAGGCGGATGGATGATGCTGTTGTGCTGCTCCCGGCTCGTGACTGGGTTGTGCGTGGGTCAGGCTTTCTGGCGCGCAACCCAGCATCCATCGCCTTCCTCCTGCCCGCTCAAGGGCATGGCAGAGCTGCTGCGCGTGCGCGTGCGCGTGCGCCGGCGCCTCACATCGCTTCTCTCGCGCGTAAGAATTTGACATATGCAAGCGGGCGCGGCGCGGCGCGGCGCTGACTGCGGCCACATGGAAGCCACGCGAGCGAAGAGCTTCCTGCAGTCAGCAGCAGGCGCGTGCCGGCCCGCGATGGGGGTCTGTCGCAGCGCATGACGGCCGCCGCACGAGAGATCTGGCGGGCGAGCCTTTGCGTGGCACCAGGAGCCGAGCGAAGCGCCTGACGAGTGAAGCTGAGCCATTGGAACATCGCATCGCAATAAGTCCTCCCAGACAGCCCCTGCGCTACTACCATATCCGCACACATTCACGCTTCAAGATCAGTCTCGCTCGTGAGCATCAGCTAGACTTTCATCGCGTCTCTCCGCAATACCGCTCATCGTCATCGTCTCCCATCCGCTGACCCGCATATAGCCCTCAAGAAGATCATTTCATCATGGGTGTTCGCGGTGCGTGCCTCTTGCTATCCAGCTGCAAGACCTGAAAAATGCCGCTCTCACGCTGACACGGCTGTCTATTCCATCGCGACACACAGACGTCCCAGCCGACGCTTTCATTACGGCTTACGCCAATCACTTGAAGAGAGCAGGAAAGATCGAGGTCCCCACTTGGGCAGACACGGTCAAGACTGGAAAGGGAAAGGAACTGGCCCCGTATGATCCTGACTGGTTTTACGTTCGCGCTGGTAAGTACTTATACTTGGAGTGTTGAAGAGGGTCAGAAGGATGGGCAGAAAGGCAGTCAGGAAGAAGCCGATGTGTAGAGGGTGGATAGAGTCACAGGAGACGCAGGTTGACTGTTTGGGAGGAGCGCACGCACCAATCAGGTCTATCAATGCTCGGCGCGGGCAAGGGCGAGGTCTGACAAAGAGCACAGGTCAGAGCTGGTGATGATTTGCTGGTGTCAGAAGATGTCACATGGACAGCCCTCTTGTGCCCTCGGCATGACCCTGGATGGGTGTGCAGAATGTCACACAGCGACAGCTGCGCACCGGTTGCATGCGTCATGGTTGTACTCTTGAAAGCAGTCATCTCGATCGACGCATGACACTGACGATTCCGCTCCTTGATGTCTCTTAGCTGCTCTCGCACGCCACATCTACCTGCGCAAGGCTGTCGGTCTCTCCTCTTTGATGAAGTACCAAGGAGGTGCGCAAAACCGAGGATTCAGACCAGCCAAGCACGCCGACGCTTCCGGTTCCGTTCAACGCAAGGTCGTTCAGGGTCTGGAGGGAATCGGAGTATTGGAAAAGGACCCCAAGGGTGGTCGAAGAATCTCTCAGGATGGTATGAGAGATGTGGACCGTATCGCTACGGCTGTCAGCGAGCAGCTCAGGGCTCAGGAGGAAGAGGATGAGGACGATGAGGACGATGATGAAGATGAAGACGAGGACAACGAGGATGACGATGACGAGTAGATGCGCGCTCAACGTCCCAAGTATCCTTCGCCCATCTTGAAACGGCGCTTCCTCGCAGAGGTGGCACGTTCGGCTACCCGTCGGTCTGCACGCTTCAATCGTCATCGTGACCCGATCATCCATGCAGCATTCGCACCCTACAAGTATACAAAAGGAGGGGGGACTTTTCCTCCAGCAGGAACACTGCACAGCAGGTTTGTACTGCAGTGTCCTCTCTTGTTTGCCTCGCCCCAGGCCAAATGTTCCAATAGCCAAGCTCTTTCCCAACACCCAAGTCATGCTTCTCTAAATCAACTGTCGATTTGATCGTATGGTGGTTGCGTCGCCAGATCAGCTCCCGAAAGAATCTTGACTGCACGAATTCCGTCCGCGCTTTGAGCATCGCGCGCCATATCGTCCCATTGCACACAGCCTTGTCTCGTCGGAGATGTCCTACCACATCGCGCATGCAGTCTGATCAAGCGGTACAGGATCTTACCGCACAGAATCACATAGCAAGTAGCTCCTTTCCCGAGATCGCGCATCGTCCGATTGTCTAGCGTGTAGGTCATGTGTGTGACAGGGAGCTCGAGTTCCACTTCACTAAAGAGCGTACAGTACAGCTGGACTTCGATTGCTGGACGGCAATGCTAAGGCGGCAACGCAGCAGATCCACGCTCTGCTGGAGGCAAGAGGCAAAGGAGCGTTGTGTGATAGATGCAAGGAAATTGATAGGGCAGCAATGAAGCGATCTCATGCATGCGTCTTCACTTTGCACTAGTGCTCTTGCCCGCGTCCTCCTTCAAACTGACAATCCTGTTGAGAATTATTCTGTCCGGGGTGCTGCTCTCGGTAAGAGGTTGCATATCCGCTCTGTCCAGAGCAAAGTAGGCTATCCTCATAGCTTGGAACCTGACGCATTCATTGCCGATCAGCTGCTCCTGCGTTCGCTCAGGAGCTCCATCGCCCGTCTTGACGGCACCCTTTACTCCTTCTTCGACAGCTTTGCTCTCCTTCTCCTTCGTCGCAGCAGCTTCCGTCTTTGCTTGGTCAGTGCGGGCCGAAGCTTCAGACCGAGCTCGTGCAAACGACCGCCTTGCCACATCCCAAAACGAAGACTCGATGAGCGCTTCGTGGTGCACTTCCAAGGAGTCTTTGTTGACGTGGTCCAGGAAGTTGTCCTCCCCTGCCGGATTATCCGAGTGAAAGAGACGATGGTGTATCCTCACTTCATCGATCTTAATCGGACTGCCCGACTCTTCGTCCTGGCCCAGCCACTGGATGTACGCCTTGGACTTGCTCATTCCCTTGCCGCCAAACGCTGGATCCTCGTATCGGACCCTCACTTCTCGCGGCTCTCCTTCTGTCAAGCCAGAGGTGTCGACCCAGGATGTCACCGTGACGGGGAATGGAGCACCCAGAAGCCCGACGGTCTTTCCGGGCGCCAACCTGAAGTAGTCCTTCGAATCCACGGTGCGGAAGTCCTCCTTCTCTATCCAGAGATGCTTGACGAAGAACTGCTTCGAGGTGCCCATGGAAGGGACCTTGGGGTGCAACGGCCTTTCAATCTCTACCTTGAAGCCTTCCGGTACGTTCTCCAGAACCACGCGCAGTGGTTGAAGGATCATCATCAACCGAGGCGTATGAAATTCCAAGTACTTTCTCACTGCATTCTCAAATCTAGCGAGGGGAATAGAGGATGGGCTGGTGGACACTCCAAGCTCGTTGATGAAGCTGAGGATGGCGCCCGGAGGTATGCCTCTTCTCCTCAAAGCCAAGAGTGTGTAAAGTCTGGGGTCGTCCCACCCATCCACGATCTTCTCCTTGACTAATTTTAAAATCTTCCTCTTGCTGGTGAGCGTGCCCTCCAGGCTCAGTCTTCCAAATTCGTACTGACGAGGTCTGTACACGTCTACTGCATCGCACAGCCATTCGTAGCTCTCCCGAGAGAGGACAAATTCGGTGGTGCAGAGGGAATGACTGATGTTCTCGAAGGAATCAACCAGACAGTGCGTGAAATCGTAAGTCGGGTAGATTTTCCACTTGTCGCCTGTTCGATGATGAGATGCATTGAGCACTCTATATGCGATCAAATCCCACATTTGAGGATTGCCATTGCCCAAGATATCTTGCTTCATCCGCAATGTAGCTTCTCCAGGTTTATAGTCTCCATTTTTCATCCTCTCAAACTCTTTCAACGATTCTTCTATCGGTCTGTTTCTCCACTTCGATTCCTTTCTCGGCCCCCGTTCCTCTCCACCTCTCTCGGCCCTGATTTCCTCTCCAGTAGAATGATCCACATACGCTTTGCCTCTTTTGATTAGCTCCAAGGCGAGGGCGTACAATTGATCGAAGTAATCTGAAGAGTAGGTTATCTTCCAGGGTTCGAAGCCCAACCACCGAACAATCTCCAGGATTGCATCAAAGTAGATCTGCTCCTCCGCTTCGGGATTCGTATCGTCGAAGCGCAGGTAGCAACTACCTTGATGGTATTTTGCGTATCCAAAGTCGATCGCTATTGCTTTGGTGTGTCCAATGTGTAGGAAGCCATTAGGCTCGGGTGGGAAGCGAGTGAAGACTTTGCCGCCGGTCGCATTGAGATGAAGCTGCTTGTGCTTGGGATTTCCCTGCGCATTTTCTCCGGGCTTGTGCAACTGCGACAAGAACCCCTGCTTGAACATGGCAGTAGGATCTGCCTCTTCCACAGCGGGTGCGGCATTGGACGCATTCCCTTGCGCGGCCTTGGCAGCTTTGGCAGCTTTGGCTTCCGCCGCTGATTTTTCCCTCGCTTCCTTAGCTGCTTGAAGCGCTTCTGCCCTGCTGCCGAACCGTTGCGTGAGGTGCTTCTCCAACGCATCTTTGATGTCCACTGCTGAAGCCCACCGCAGCTCTTCATTTGAGCGCAGCTTGACCATGAGGTTACTCTGCGATGCCCATGCCTCCTGAGCTGCGGTTTCGGAAGCTATAGCTCCTACTTCTTGACTCGCGAGGGAGTCTATTGTGTCCGGAGTGACGACGACTCCTATAGAGTGGTGCAGCGAAGGAGTGTCAGCTCAACCACTGTGGTGCACTCCGACACACTGCGAGAGCCACGCCAAAGATCAGTCGAGTAGATTTTGCAGCCATGGAGCCAAAGCTCGTCGACTCTAATACATGCATTTGTTTTTGTATTCTCATCCTTGTGCTGGCAGGGCTCCTCTTGCTCCTGGTGCCAATAGACGATCGCACTCACCGACACCGCAGGCCTCATCGAACGCGGCTTGATCCACTTCTGGTTGGCTGCTGGAAAGGAATTTGGCAGCAGCTAATAGCAGATTCGAATGAAGGGCCCATCAGCACGCTGACCGAGCGCATGCATACATACCGTGTTCGGTGCCGTGCACTCACCAGTGACCTTATCCGAGGTGTTGATGCTGCCGTCCAGCACCCTCCTGACCAAGTAGTTCCTTTGACTGCGCTCCACGCCTTTCAGATTGGCAGGCGCACACACCAAGACGATCAGCCCGGACACTCTTTGATCGAGCTGGCCCACCTCGCTGGGCAAATCTTCGATAACTTCTTGAAGAGCTTTGGACTGAGCCGGTAATCGAGTCAGCTCGAGCGCTTTGGGTCCGCTGAGAGAGATGCGCGAAAAGAGTTCCAGCAGTTGAGTCTGCTCTGCTGAGATTTCGGCCGAATTTCCAGCAGCGCCACCGCTCGACTTCTTCTCCTTCTTGGGGGCCATGGTGCGGGGAAAGAAACGGAAGCTTTGAGGGCCAAGGCCTGACTGATAAGCGGAGGTCTTTGACCGGTGCGGCTGTTGAATGATCTGCCGTCAGCCAGCCAGGAGGCAACACCTTGACAGCCGTGTACGGCGTACGCTTAGTGTATGCGCGACAATAGCGAAGACGGTGACGGTGTCCAGGAAGCAACAAGCGAGGCGGCCTGCTTTTGTGACTCGTTTCTCTTCACTCAGACTCGTGGTTGTGTACGACGCTTGCAAGCTGCAACGCGCGGCGAGGAACAAGGGTGTGGGTGCTGCGCCATGCTGTTGCGCGTTGTAGCCGATCCCAGCCAACCGGCCAAACAGTCACGTGCCCTGCACGGAGCACGGATTTGAGAAGCAACCGCGGTACGGGCAGGGCAGCATTTGGATTTTGGCGCGGAGATGTGAGGAACCAGCGTGCAGCATGCTCATTGTCGGCCTTCCACTTGAAGCGTTGCTCTCACTCTCACCATCCATCTCTGTGCAAGTCGTCTAGACAAGAGATCGGCGTGCGGTCTACGACCCGCGCAACATCATCAAGTATTCGAAGCGCAAAGACAGCTTCACGTGCGGAAGAAGAAGGCTGCCAAGATGTTCAGAATAAGCGTGCGGAGTGGCTCTGCTTCCGCTTCAAGACGGAAGGGGACTCAAGAGGTCGGAGCAATCAAAGGCGAATGTCAAGCACTGTGTACAGCCACGCATACACACTGCGACTCCGCTAGATTACCGATTCGTGGGCATGCTGCAGGCACACGCAGCGTCACTCCGGCGCGACCGCTTCGCAGGTCGTTCCAGACTCATCCGCAAGCGCCAGTAGAAGGCAGATACGACCCTTACAACGCTCTCGTGCACCTTGCGCCCCGTTCTCACCACGCTCCTTCAGCTGAGTCTTTAAAGGGCGAGTCTGGTGCGCTGCAAGGATGGTCAGTGTCGGTCAAGGACAACATCGCCACGACGGACATGCCTACCAGTTGCTCCAGTCGAATGTTGCACGGTGAGTCATTCTTGCATCTTTTGATGTAGACATGAAAGCTTGATCGAGCACTCAATATACTGTGATGTGCCTTTAAAGACTACACGTCCCCTTTTGATGCGACTGCTGTCTGTTTGCTCAGGCAAGCAGGTGCACAGCTCATAGGCAAGACGAACTGCGACGAGTTCGGGATGGGGTGAGCTCGTGCGGCCATTCGCACTCACGAGGAGTAGCTTCGAGAAGATGAAGATGTTCTCTGACGCATTCAAGCGCTTTGTACCATGTTACAGATCACACAATGTGCACACCGTGTATGGCCCAGTGCTGAATCCCGCCAGTCCGGACGCATACACGATGGGAAATAAGAGCGAAGGGAGACAAAGACATAGGGCCTATCACCAGCCACGTGTTGCGGGTGGCTCGTCCGGCGGGGCAGCTGCCAGTGTCCGAGCAGGGCTAGCTCGAATGTGAGCTGCATCTGTCCCCTCTCGTCCTCGGCCGTCCTGCTCGGCTTTGCTGACTATACTACGAGACTTGTCGACGGAACACATGCAAAACCCTGCAGAGCTCTGGCTTCGGACACGGGCGGATCGATACGCATACCTGCTTCGCACTGCGGCGTGTGGGGACTCAAGCCTTCGTATGGATTGATCAGCAGGTGGGGTCTGGTCTCCTACGCCGACAGCTTGGATACGCTCGGCTTGCTTGGTCGAACGCCTCACGATCTTCAATCAGCTTTTGGTGAATTCTTGCACCAGGCGGGAGTGCTCCGAGGCTGGCTCCGGCTAATTTCAGCAATTCCATCCCTCTGCAGAGGTCTTGAACATGCGCGACGAGAAGGATCCATCTGCAGTTCCTGATCAAGCACGAAAGGCGGCCCGCGAAGCCGCACGGTCCCGCATCGCATCGTTCCCAGAAGGCTCGCTTGAAGGTCTGCGGATAGGCATACCTGTCGAGTATTTTCCTTCCGAGCTAGAACCTCAGATCATACCTCCTCTTCATGGCGTGCTGAGAAACCTCAAACAAAGAGGCGCAGTACTGAGAAGCATAAGTCTGAGCTGTGTCAAGCCGGCTTTGGGAGCTTACTATGTCGTTGCGAGCGCGGAGGCTAGCAGCAACCTGGCAAGGTATGATGGAGTCAGATACGGTGAGTGCCATGGGGCCCAAGAGTATCCCTTTTGTGCGGCAAGCACCCTGACACGGACGTGTGTGCCCGTCTGGCCATTGTGACCAATAAGGTCATCAATCGACGGACAAGTCGGGCATCTCTGAAGGCCAAGTCCATCCATATGCGCACACGCGCTCAGAAGCGTTCGGCGAAGAAGTAAAGCGACGCATCTTGCTAGGCACGCACGCCCTGACATCTTCCGCTTTCGACAACTATTTCCTCCAAGCGCAACGAGTCAGGTTGCTAGTGCAGCGGGGATTTGAAAATGCTTTCAGAGACGTCAATGTGCTGCTTGCTGCTGAATCGTCGGAAGAATCGCACAAGCAGACCAGACCGATGCAGAGGAGCGCAGGAGAGGGAGAAGAAGAAGGGGTGGATCTGATAGTGGGACCCGCGAGTACTTCTGCAGCACCCACACTCGCTTCGGTGCTACATCCGTCTGGGCAAAAGTCATCGGCTAGCAGGACCAGCGCGTACGTACAAGATGTTCTTACCGTGCCTGCTTCCTTGGCAGGCTTGCCCTCGCTCTGCGCTCCAGCTGGAGTGGCGCAAGACGGTTGGCCCGTTGGCATCTGTCTGACGGCCCAGTGGGGCCACGAAGAGACGATCTGGAGAGTTGCAAAGGAGATCGAAATGGGATGAAAGACGCCGGCCAGGCAATACATGCTCACCTTTCCAGTACGCTGCTCGATCCTTTTCGCCTTGCATCAGCGTCAACTTCAGCACTGTCAGGTCTACACGAAATTCTAGATCGAACAGCACCGCTTGCACGGTCTGGCTCACGATCACGAAGCGCGGAGCCCCGCACAGGGCGCATCACACGCATTCGAGCCTGTCTCGAAATATGACTGGTTTTTTGGATCAAAATGACTCAAAATTGACAATGTTGTACTGATGGCGGACCAATTAAGAACGTACCTCGCTCGCGCTTACTTCACTCGAGTGTCGCACTCGCTGTTAATTTGCCCCCTATCACCGAAGTTTTGCAAGGTAAATGCACGCATCAGCCCTATCCACGCACCGCGAGCGTCACGAACGCGTCTTCATTCGACGAGGTGAGGTGTCAGCTGAGGTGGTCAGATCTCGATCATCAGCTTGCATGTCAGACATTTTCGAGACAATGACGTTTGTGCGCTGCCAAACAAGTTTGCTTGCGAAATTGTCAAGCTTTGCATGGCGGAGGATTGAGTGGACATGCGCGAGCTTTGCTGGAACTTTTGAGAGCTGTTTTGACGAATTGAATGGGTGCGTTTGATACGCCCCTGTACGACAGGCTGGATGCGCAGCGCGCGCGCACTTTTTGAATTGGAGCTTAATTTGCGCTCCGAATTTCCAATATGAATCGGAATGTATGTTCTTCATAGTAGAGTGACATTCAAGCGTGCAAAGCAAGACTCGTGACGCACGACTGACGCACTCTTGTGCTCGATCGTGTCCCCCGCCGGCTCTGCGCGTAATGAGGAGCGTCGAACGAGTCTTGAGTGTGGCTTTGCAGCGCGGGGATGACGGTCACGTGATGTCATCTATCTCGGTCCTCCCGCCCGCCGCGCCGCGCCGCGCCGCAGTGCGCGCCTGTCATGCGTGATGATTACGCGTGATGTGACACAACCGCACTCGTGACTTTGACTGCTGAGTGACTGACTCATGACTGCATGGTGACTGGCTGCTTGTCATGACTTCGGAGTCGAGAGAGTCGTCTTTCAGTGGCTTGCTTCACTGAGCACGCCGACTATCACGACTCACGACTCACGACTCACGACTCACGCACAACTCACAACTCGCCATGGCATCCTCAGCCCAACGCGTGCATTACGTGGTCACGATGGTGTAAGCTTAGTTGTCTCGAGGGATTTCCATTCAAGATTGGTCCCTCTCACAGCATCGCTCCTGCTGCTCATCCATCCACTTCGAGTCAGCATGCATGTGATGTGATTACGGAGAGCATACAGGAATCACGTGAACGAATCAGAATGCGGCGGCTGCGCGTATGCGTGCGCGTGAGATGACCAGCCTCCACTTGGAAGTTTGAGTTGTGAGATTTGCGAAGCAAAGCATCCACACGTAAGTAACGACCTGCGACTTTGAGGCGAAGAGGCGATCGAGGGGTATAAATGGAGCGCATTCACAGGCCATGCCTCTCTCCCATCTTGATGTTCGCCATCCTCATCCTCATCCTCTTCTTCAACTCAGCACTCAGCAACGCATACAATCCAACATTCACACTTCATCCGAGCGTGCGTGCGTCCCCTTTTGCATACTCGCATCGCATCGCAACACCAACATCTGTCCCCACTCGTCATCTCTACGCGCGCCAACATACACCATCATGTCCTCTTCCATGCCAGGCGTGTCTCTGGGCGGAGATGCCAAGCACATTCGAATCGCTCAGATCGCCTTTGGGACGATGCATTTCACGTGGAAAGCCGCTCCAGAGACGTCGGGTGATATTCTACAGGTGATCAAAGCGGCGGTAGAAGCTGCATCTCCCCACAAGCTCTTGCTCAACGGTGGAGCCTTTTACGGTCCACCCAACGACGCTTGGGCCAATCTTCGTCTCATCAAGAACTTTTTCGCAAAGTATCCGCAGCTGAGAGAAAAGGTGGTGCTGAGCATCAAGGGCGGTTGGGTCATGGAGGAGTACGAAGCAAAAGGTTTTGCGGGTATCAGAACGGATGCGAAGGAGGATAATGTTCGAAGAGACCTGATCAAGATCAAGCAAGAGCTGGGAGGCGATGTGCCTGACATTTACGAGTTGTCTAGGGTGGATGAGCACGTGTCGATCGAGGATCAGATGAAGAACTTGTCCAAGCTCAAGGCAGAAGGCCTGTTCAAGTACATTGGCGTATCCGAAATGGGCGCCGATTCTCTTCGACGAGCGGCCAAGGTCGCGCCGGTCGTGTCGATCGAGGATGAGTACAGCTTGTGGGAGACGGCAGTGGAGGATAATGGCGTGCTGAAAGCTGTGGAAGAGCTAGAAATTCCCTTGATAGCTTATAGTCCCACTGGAAAGGGAATGCTCAGCGGTCAGCTCAAGAGTCGAGCGGATCTTCCAGAGGGCGATATCAGACTCCATCAAGATCGCTTCAACGAAGAGGTGAGCTTCAAAGTGCCTGATCAGAGCGGACAAACTTTCCACCCCCCCTTTTACGCTCCTTGCTCACCTGTTTCCTCTCGCGCATCTCGCCACTTTTGTAGAACTTTGCGGGCAACGTGAAGCTGGGAGAAGCGCTAGCTGAATACGGATCCAAGCACAATCCTCCAGCTACAGCAGCGCAGCAATCCCTTTCTTGGCTGATCGCCCAATCGCCTCAAAAGCGTCTCATTGTTCCTCTGCCCGCGACCAGCAAGTTGCAAAGGATCAAGGAGAACTTTGATAGCGCAAAGCCCGAATTCGAATTGGATGCTCAGCAGAGCAAAGAGATTCGAAAGTTGCTGTGAGTTCCTCCGTCAAAGGGGGGGCCCAACTCGACAGTCTTGCCGAGCTATACGTCCCTCTTCTTTTGCTGACCGTGTCCCATCCTCCGCAATGCTCTGCAGCGCCGATATTGGAGTCAAGGGAGAACGCTACAATGCTCATATGCGAGCAACCAACCTTTGGGGCTGAACGCGCCCGTTCCAAACGGCACCAATAAGCAGCGTCTCCGTCGATGTGACCAGCCATCCGATCGGAGTCTCTTCGCTCTCAACGCAGCTCTTGTAGCACGCCGAGGTACCTGTGTCTCCTTTGAATTCTTGATTGTAATTAACTTCCTCATCATTCGACTCGTGCAAACACCCATCATGATCCTCTGCCTCGTCCCTTTGAGCCCAACAGGCGCTCGTTGTGGTGCCACGTGACTTTCCAGTGCTTTGAATGTAAGACCCAGCGGTGGATGCTGATGCGATTTGTTCGCGAATCGCTTGGTAATTTGAGACGAGGCTCCCAGTCCACGATTTGCTCGAGCGGGAATGATTAGCATCGCAGAGCGACGCAGACATCGTAAAAGACAATCAGTCATGTCTGATCGACTGGCCGACTTTGTCAGTGAAAGTGCACTTCAAAGTTCGTTCCTATTGATACAGCTCTTCCGTGCGGTCGGCTTCGGAAGAGATATCGCTACTCCTGCCCCTCGTCCTCGCTATCGCTCGCATAGTTGGCCAAACCTCCCAGTGCACTAGCGCCGCCTGGTGCCGGTGCAGCTTGTTTGAGCTGCTCGGCTTTCCTTCCTTCACCATTGCCCACCACACTACCTTTGCCGTTGCTGCTCGACGCTTGGCTGCGATGCACGAGCCCTCGAAGATCTCCAAGGGTGGCAAGGTCGATGAATCTGCTCTGTTGTGCTTGTGTTGCAGCAGCCTGAAGCTGAGGCGCCGGAACGTTCTGCGCAGGCTCACCGCCCATGGATGCCCATCCCGCTTCGTTTTCCCTTAGCAGCTGTTCATACTCTTCGTCCGTCATCTCCGTCGATGGGTGTTCTTCTACTCTTGGCCTTTTGATCTGCGCACCATCTTCTTGCTCTGCGCCGCCTTCCGCTTCGACCGGTCCTTCGAGCCTGTGCAGCTCTCTCAGCGCATCTCTCTGCTCCTCGCTCATCTTTTCCCACATCCTCTCGCTTCCCAAACTTTGCCTCTCTCTGTGGTCCCTCTTCTGAGCTCCCGGATTGGGATCATCCGTGGCCCATCGAACGTTCAAAACCTCGTTGTGGTCCAGCGATTGGTTGGACATGGCCTCTTTTGCGAACTGAGCCGAAGATTCGAAAGTGTAGGTCACGAAGGCGCAAGAACGCGTGTGCAGCACTTTGACTGCGAGGCGAGGAGATCCGTGGAAGGAAGGATGTTCGTGGAGCTCAAGCACGGAACTTGAGCACGCAAGCACAATCGCACCACTCACCCCTCTGAATCTCTCCAAACTCTCCAAAGTGTCTTCTGAGTACCATTTCCGTCCCGCTCATTCCCATCTTTCTCTCCTTTTCCCTCTTCTTTTCCCTCTGTTCCCTGGTCAAGCTCGTCGTATTCCTTCCCACATCTCTCCAATTCTGCTGAGACATGTTCGCTGCGCCACTTTGACCGCCACCTCTCGAAAACGCGTCGTTCTCCTCCACGATGCGTCCAATGTAAAGCGTTCTATTGACGCGTTCCAGCGAGCCCACGCCGCCCATGTCGTCCCTATAATCTCCGTGCTTTTCCCTACCAAAAACATCTCGACCTTGTTCGGGCAGATCCTTGACCTCGGGTAGACGATGATAGAAGTCGCACTTGTTTCCCAATGGACAATACCCTCTCGCAAAGAAGAGGCACACAAATCCTCCACCTGCCCCCTTTGTATCCGCCCGCGTCCAGCCGCTATCCCGAGCCACATCCACCCGCGTCTCGCTCTTGATCTTGTTCGACATTGTATCCTCCCGATCCCCACCGCTGTACTTGTTGTACCAGATATTGTACGTCAAACCGCTCTGAGATGCTTTATCGTTGGCCAACCGGATCGCGTCCAGCTTGGCTTGCGTGATCTGTTGACGCGCTGGTCGGGCTGCGTAACCGCTTTTCGCAGAAGCAGCAGACGATGTGAGCGATGACGACCCGTTCATGCTCGCGCTTGTGCTGGACTTCATTAGGGCCGCGCTGGAGGAGGAAGAAGCTACACCAGCAGACTGCGCTCCGCCTTGCCCCTCTACATCCCCACCGAAGGCGGCAGACGCTTTGGCTGCATTCATCTTGTATGCTGTCTGGGCAGGGGCAGGGGCAGGGGCACCTGTAAGCTATGCTGATCAACGCGAGAGGGTGAGGGTGCCGAGTGCATGCGCTGCGGTGTAAGGAGATGTGGTGGGGAGCGAGTGCGTCCGGTGGAGTCGTGGGCCCAAAGAAGGGAGAATTGATTTTGACGCAAGCAGCACGCAGTTGAGTCATGAGGGGTACCATGCGGCGAGCGGCTTGCGCTCATTCTGGTGCTCACGTGATGGCGCCTCTCATCGACTTAATTTTGACTTCGCCTGCCTGAATGTGCGCGCCACTACAACCCACTCAGACTCAAGCGGCACGGGATCAACCGCGGGGCTACTGCACGACCTGTCTTCGCTTACCTATCCCCATTGGCTCCTCACGACAGCGCAACGCACCACTCGACCTCCGCTTCCTCCACTCTGACTCGTACTTCGTGACTCTTGACCTCTTTCCTCGACAACTGGCCACATTCACGATACTGACAATTCGTTGGGTACACCCACTGACGTGTGCCTTGCTGGACATTCAGCACAGCGGTCTGCAGAGCCTCAGAAGCGGTCCGATCGACGCAGGTCACACTCGAGAGGAGGGAGAAGAAGAAGAAGATGACTATTCTCGCATCCAGTCTCTCTTCGCAAACGCAGTCGCAATCGCAGTCGCAAACGCAAACGCAAACGTCGTCCCAATCTGACGCACCATCCATCGCACCGCAGTCAAGCTCGAGCTCAAGCCCTCGCATTGCATCCAAACCCAATTTCGAACCCAACGCGCTCGCCTCTTCCCAAGCCAATCCCTTTCTCCCCTCTCCCCATCCAGCACCTCAATCCTTCTCTCCTCGTTACCCCCAGCCGCTGGAGTATAGTTGGTCCGAAGCTCGTCTCTCCTCTTCTCGTCCTTCTCTATCTCCTCTCCCTTCTCAAAATTTCCTCTGGTCAGACGTCCAATCGCAAGCACACGACCACGACAATATGGAAGAGGGATTGGATCAAGAGTATTACTTGAACAGGACAGGCTGCGGAGTTCCGCTCAATAGACTTTGTGCGGTCTGCTATGCCGCACCCCCTTTGAGCTCTTTGGGAATCTTGGCGCTGGAGAGGGAGAATGTGAGTGCATCGTCAAGTCTTTGGCGTCGGGCGCGGGCGTGGATGGCAAGAAGGTGGAATTGGAGCGCATACACGCGCTCACTCACAGCCATGCCAAGCCCTTGCCACCATCGAGCAGAGGATGGTGCATGGGATCGGAATGCATTTGCGGCGCATGCTGACGCATACATCCATCC